GGAAGAGGAATTGTTGTGGCAGGAGGACTGGTGGCTTGAAGCAGTAAGTAATTGGATCCCTTATGTGAACACAAACCTCCTTAAGAAATGTGTGCACTCACTCTTGAGGAGTTTTGAACATACCCAAATCCCCTTTTTGTTCCTTGTTTTCAATTCTTATAGTTAGTGTTCATTTTGCACAATCATTCTTGCCTCTGCCACCTCCCTGCCAACTCAGTACATGCTCATTAGGTCAAAAATACTCAAGACATTTTATAAACCAGCATATTTCAGAGTGCATTTAACGCTCATAGCTGTGAATGCACTCAACAAAGAGAATAGAAAAGCTTATGCAATCAGGTCCTTCCAGCTGTGAAAGTACAGAATTGACACACATGTTCTAGTCCAATGGGAGATGAATAGCTGGGAATGGAATGTCACATGCAGGCTCTCTCTTTACCACCTGGCCTTAGTGTCACTTGCACACCTTTTATTAGCTAATCGCTTTTTGCCTGTGACAGAAACACTGAAGTCCAACTTAAGTGTTTGTTACCATCCTATTCACTTCCAGCTTCTTTATGCACATAATTGAATGTCCCCATGTCCCCTGAGGTATTGTCCTTGTTGGAAAACAGCAATATAGGAAAAGACATCACCATTCTTTACACCCCCAAACGATAATTAAAAGGCTGCTGGAGAAAGTAGAAAGTTTTGGACAGTGACTGCTCACCCAAACTATTCTTCAACATCAATTTCTTCTTCTTTAACCCTTTACGTGTCTTGTGAAGTAGAAAAAAGTTTGTGTCTTAAGGAAAATTTGCGGTTTAATGAAGACAATTTTTAGGGGGCATAATTTAACCAAAAATGAAAAATAAAAAGTTACGGTCTACTTTTTTCTTTGACAAGAGTGTTTTAACATTGGACCATCCACCACTGATGTAGGTTTTTGGATAGTTCTGTATCAGGTCTGTACCTCTGTGCCCACAAGTTTTTCTAATAATATTTTATTAAAAAAAAAATTAGCAGTGTTGCTTTTCCATTCGCTTCATGCTGTGTAGCAGTTCACAAAACTGCCTGATGAATTTTGCCTTTGTACCAGGTGTATTTTAATTCCTCCATTTGGGAAGCCTTCTCAATCAAACTTTTCAAGGTTTGTTGCTTGTGAACTGCCTTTGATACATTCTGAAACACTGGTTGTACTTAAGAAGGGAGGTCTCCTGTTTTATCACAGTAGCCTGGGCTTGTTAAAAGACAAGCAAACGGAAGGTGATTGATTTTTTTATTTTTATTATTATTACTGAGATTTTATTTTTGCGTTTGAACACTGCTCTGTGGCACAGAGCAGGAAGATAAAAAATCCAAGGAGAGAACCCCCTTTTGGATTGGCTTGCAAACACTAGAGGTCAAAGCGCTCAGTGGCCCCTCTTAACCCTTCATTTTCTGTGATGAGAGGATTGGTTAGGCAGCAATAAGAAATGACAATTCCCAGCCTAAAATATTTGGCGTTTTCTTTTTTATATATACATATATATATATAAAAAAATGTGTATTAAATTGTTTGGTTTTTGTTTAGTCTCTACTTTTCTTTAATCTAAAAGAAAGTGTGGCTTGGGATCATTAGAGCATTATTTTTTTTCCTTTTTCTGCAAGATGGATAACTTTAAAACCAGAGACTCCCCTTTTGAACAAAGGCTGATGCGCATTGGCTTTCTCACTGTTACGGGGAAGTATACGCGAAAAAAAAATTTGTAACTTCCCAGTATTTTGAAATGAACTTGAAGTGACCATACCTTTTTCTTTTCGCAGCAAGGAGTGGGGTTCTTTTTACCCCTTTTCTGCACATTTTAATTTACACAGTTTTGCAGGGGGACAGCTAACGAGTTTTTACTCTCAGCTGCCCCCTATCCACGTCAGCTTGTCTCTGATGTAGAATTAAGAGGAAGAGGAAATGCAAAAAAAAATCATGGCAAAAAGTAAATCTGTCATCCCTGACTGTTCATTTCCTCCCCCCAAACCTCCTGAAATAAAGTAACACTTGCAAAAAAGGAGAGGGAAAATTCCCCACCCCTTAACCAAGTAAAACAACCCCCTTTTCTTTCTTGCCCCGCTGGTACCAGTGAACGCTATCACAGTTCGAAACAAAATATAGTACTATAAAATAATTTTGTACTGTATTTATTGTGTATAACAATTTTTTTAAAGAATTATGTACATTTAGTACTTCTGTGTAAATTAAATTGCTCTTCTTTTTAAATACTGTATATGAATTGTTTTGTGTTTCTTTCCAAAGACCTTTAGAATACAGTTTTGAAATATGCAAATGAGCTCTTGACTTTAGATGGCTTGTTTATTATTATTTGTATTACCGTAGCCTTTATTTGTAGTGCTTTTGCTTAGCAAGACAGTCTGATGTTTTTCCCTTTTGCAAACCACTGTAAGCAAGTTAAGCTTTTATGTCTTATAAGTACATGTAGGTACCTGATCGCAACTCAGCTGGTTACAAACATGACCCAACGTTTCTGTCTGAGGAAATACGGTTGAGGGATATTCTGCCTCACAGTTTGGAACCATGACCCCAGTCGGATCCTCGCAAGCATATTCTTGGTTTCTCTTTGGGCCTCGCGGTTTTCACTGGGGCAGTGTGGCTTCACATGGGTGTATGAGTGTGCTTGTATAAGTCTGGTTGTAAGATGAGGGTCCATTTTTGTAACCAGGTTGGATTATAAATTAGTTCCTGGGCATAGCAATATTTGGGTTTCTCACAATCTTGTAGTGCTCATGGTGTGTTACAAATCTGGCTCCCACAGCAGCAAGAATGAGACTAGTCACTCAATGGGGCTTACATCTCCACCTTGTGCGGTCATCTTACACCAGTGCAAAGTGAGTGTGAAATGACTGCACCAGATGCCAGGTCAATGGAGAAACAAGCCGGATCATTTCTAACCCTAGTACTTATTAAACAGGGTCTTGGCCTTGGAAAGTTGTGAACAGAAAAGAATTGATACATTAATAACCATAGTAAGGTCTGCAGGCTTGGGCTTGAAGGCTGGGGTTCAAAAGAGCCTCAGGTTAGGCTCCCAACTCCCAGTTAATTTTCATGGAATTTGGACTCCTCTAGAAGCCCGCAGCTTAAATGTTTTTTGAGGTCCTGTTGGCTTGCTTTTCCCAGCTGCCCACCCTGCCCCATCCCAGGGTATGGAGATATCCCATTGTACGATGGTTGTAGCTTATTGCTTCGTTACATCTTGGCATGGCTGGACATACTGCAGTATTCTAGACATACCAACAGAAAGGGCCTCTCTGCAACCCTTGATTTGCTGGCCTCTGCTGCACCTTTCTGCATTTCCAGCAGGGTTTGAAAGTCATTACCGTCTCATGGCTGTTCAGCAAACTGTGTGGAATAAGGGTGTGCTTTTGTCTCCGCAAGTGCCATCAGATTTGGCACCTGGAACTGAAGGAAACTTCCATCAAATGGCTTTTTGGTCAAACAACTTTGGGTGGGGTGAGGGGTGTTTTCATCAAATTTTCAGGTTTTAACTGGGAAAAATAATTGTTTTTTCAACATAACCCTGAAATACTTAAAACCAAAATTGCTTTAATTGAAATTTTTTTGCAGGGGAAAAAAGTAATTTCCCACCCAGCTCTATTGGCATTTTCAGTGGTTAGCCAAACCCTGAAAGGTGTGCAGCATTTATGGGGCTATGGTCCATGACTTGAGCTCTTGGAGTTTGTCTCCACTGCATTTTAAAACCGTCAGCAGCAAGTCTCGGAGCCCAGGTCTACAGACTCGGGCTTGCGCTATGAAACTAAACACAGCAGTGTAGACATTTGGGCTTGGTCTGGAGCTCGGGCCCTGAACTTCCCCACCCGCCTCAGGCATCGGAGCCTGGGCTCCAGCCCGAGCCTGAGTGTCTACACAGCTGTTTTTAGTGCTGCAGCGTGAAACCCACAAGCCTGAGTGGGTGGACCTAGGATCTGAAAGTCACTGCCATAGGTTTTAAAATGCATGTTGATATACACTTAAGTGCAACCAGAATATATTTGTGCTGGTTGTTTTCACCCACTGTAAATAAATCCACCTTAAACATATACATTTTATACATTTTTTAATTAGGTGCTCATTTCAGCTGCTGAGATTCCAGGAAGCAGAAAATTCACAGTTTTGACATCTAAAAGCATTCATCATCTTGGAAACAGCTTGTCAGTAACCCCTCGTAGCCACAAAGGGCTGAGCAACACATTCCCCACCCCTCTCCCTTCTCAGGTCCCCCCTGCACTCTTGGGAGCTGGATGTTGAAAAAGGGATGTGGAAAAGGCAGGGCCATGCCCCAGCAGAGCAGTCTGCAGAGCTAGGATTGAACCTGCTTCATCCCAAGAGATGAACCAGTTCAGGTATATTTGGAGAAAGTGCAAAGAGCCACAAAAATGATTCCAGGGCTGGAAAAAACACTTTACAATGAGAGACTTAAGGAGGTTGATCTGTTTAGTGTATTGAGAAGATCAAGAGGTGACTTGATTATGGTGTATAAGTACCTTCCTGGGGAGAAAATTTCATATTGCTAAAGGGCTCTTTAATCTAGCAGAGACAGGCGGAACAAGAACGAATGGCGGGAAGTTAAATCCACACAAATCAGAGTTAGAAGGAAGGGAGATTAACAGGGAGGGTGATTAACCACGGGAATGAACTCCCAAGGAAAGTGGCAGATTCTGCATTTCTTAAAGACTTCAGATCATGGCTGACTCTCTGGAAGAGAGACTTTAGCCAGACAAATTATTTGGCTTAATACAGAGATAACGCTGAACTACTCTGGCCTGTGTGATACGGAAAATCAAACTAGATGATCTAATGATCCTTTCGAGCCTTGAATGCTATGGATTAGTGCAAAATGATTAGTGCAACATTATCTATTCAATTTCTCCTAATGCATCCCCCTTAATTGATGTTTGTTTGTTTTTTATTGCCTCTTGTTAGGTATTTGTTGCTGATCCTCCCGGGAGACGATTCTGTCCGTTCTTCCAGGTTAGGTGAGGGTAGCAAGCTCCAGCCACTGAAAGGCAGAAACAAAACCGAACCATTTAGCAGGCAACCCAAGTCTTTGTGTATCTTCGATGCTGTGTGTCAAGATAAGTGCTGCCAAACAGAACCCCCCACTGGAAGCTGCTTTAGGAAAGATGGTTGCATGGGTCATAGGAAAGAGAAAAGCAAGGGGTGGGGCAGAATTTCACTAGCGTTTTTTATACTCTGGGGTGGGTCAGGAAGCAATTCTACCCACTGCAGAGTGTTCAGCGGGGCCCTACGGTGGCGGCTGAGTGATGCATTGGGTAAACATGCTAGTCCTTTGCCACCGGAGTAATGGCTGGCACGGTTTGTCCAAGATACGCCCAAGCCCGAAAGGGCAGTATGGTGATGGACAGCATTGGTAGATCTGTGTGTCGGAAGCCTGGGGTGGAATAGCCAAGATTGAGGGACATCGGTGGAGGCAGGAGTGTAATAGCAGGGATGGGAGGCTGATCGGGACCAAGGGTGTTAAGCACAGCTGTGGGGAAGAAGCCCGGAACGGGACGAGAAGGGGAGAGGGGTTGTGGTTTGGGATTGCAGGTGGACTTGGGCTGAGATAGCAGTGGGGGCTGCGGATTGGGACTGAGGAGCACCAGCACGGCTGCGTGTGGCAATCTCCGAACTGTACTAGTAGGTGTCAGGATTGAGGTGTAGCGGCCAAGCTGTTAGAGACCCAGGAGTAGCTTGGCACTCGGCAGAGCTGAGTGGGAGAAGTTTGTCCTGCTCCTGTCTGCACTTTACTTGGCTCAAACCAGCCCTTCTTCCTTCCACTGCTAAACAGGTGCTCCAAATGCCTTCTCTTGAAGGACAGGACAAGGGGGGGATTACGAGGATGATTTGGTGCATGCCCATCCCGACCAGACCCAGCAGTGGACCATGAGGTGGTACAACACAACAGGTCAGGGCAGCCGGAACACAGAAGCTCGTGAGCATGAGCCTCAGGCTTACTAAATGCTGCTGCAGAAGGAATAGGGGTCTCGGCTCAGTGCCTGGCATTGGGGCAAAGAGCAGCAGCCGCTATGAGCGAGAGGCAGTAACCCATGCTTCTCACCTCCTTCTGCGTCATGGTGATCATCCCATCACCGGTTTTGTCATACGCTCGGCACTGCCCTGCCACGACCAAAAGAAAGCGAGACTTAGGAGGCAGCTGTTGCCCACGTAACGCTCCCACCCCAATGCCTGCGTGCACACAGTAGGATGCTCCTCTGCCCTGCAATGTGCACACTCGTTTGCACCAGTGCAAAGCTGGTGTCAAGTGCTGCCATTTGGAATTGGTGGCACTTGGCGTGGTCGCTTTGCACAGGTGTCAACGGCTGCCCGGTGAGCACGGAATGGAGACACCGACCCAGGGAACATCAGTCTCTGTTGCACACAGGAGCCTGAAGTTCAGCCCTTACATCCCAATTTGCATCACTGACTCCACGGTGTTTAAATTCAGCAGTCCCATCATGCCCTATAGTTGACATCGCATGCCCATAACATTCAAGCAAGTGGAGCGTTCTGAGCCATTGTTCCAGTTTAGATCTGTTTCCAAAACCATGTGGCCCTCCACACAGATTGCTTTTAAATCCTCTTCTTAAATGAGCAGCTGGAGTTACCCACTGATTAATACATGGAGCAAAAGCTTCATGCCCTGCTCTTCCAGTGTCTCCCCTCTGCTGCCTGGTCTCATGCTGGCTTCCCATCTCTTGCTACAAGACACACCCCAATTCAACAAGAAACTGGGCTCGCTATAGGGATCGCTGGGTGAGATCTCTGGCCTGTGCTGTACAGGAGGGACAGACTGGGATGGTCAGAATGATCCATTCTGATCTTAACATCTCTGAATCTCCTGCATGGGATTCAAACCTCTTCTCCTCCCCTTCAGCCCCCTTTAAAATTCTCCATTTTACATCTCTTCTCCTTCCCCCAGCTAGCACCCGGTTTACCACCGGGTCATGTTGCAAGGGCTGTATTTCTCCCGACTTGTTCTGAGGAGACAGATTGGATGAAGTGGAAAGGTGGGGAGAAGATGGGTTACGAATGGTTGCTGACACTGGGGTGTTCTTAGCATGTGATTTGTGCATGTGGCTCTGTTGCTGGAGAGGCGTGGATCCGCACAGCCACTTGCGGCGGAGCTGCTCATCATCTGTTAGCCTAGCTGGAGACGGCGCTTACTGAAGATGGCTTCCAGCTGCACCATGCAGGACAGGAAGCTGTCGAAGTTGATCATCAGGTAGCAGTCGCGGTATTTGCTTGTGATGACCTCCCTCAGCTGGTGGTTCAAGTGGAAACCTGCGTGCAAAGGGCGAAAAGGACAATGAAAGCCTGAGATTCACACGGTGTTCGGACTTTCACCGGGGCTTGTTGTTGCAGCTATTACCCAGGCTGATCTTGTCTTCTCCAGTTTAACGCGCCTCAATATCTCAACAGACACCTACTCGAAGCTGGGAGCACTCAGTGGGTGCCTCCTGTCCTGGAAAGGCTGTATGGTCTAGGGATTACAGCACAGCCGTGGGGACTCGAGAGCACTGTGACCTTTGCAAGTTACTTGATTTCACAGAGAGGCAAAGAGGCAGTGAGGTTAAGAGAATCCCTATTTAATTACTCTAAATGGCTTTGAACTCTTGAATGGAAGATGAAAGCATCGTGCCCATGACCTGGCCCTGGGTCAGTTCCTGGGGCTAATGTTTAGCACTCCTGGTGTCAGAGCTTTTTCCTGCTTGTATTTGTGCCAGGCGCTGTACGAACAGCCCTGGCAGGAGCATCTAGTCTAAAGAGAGGAAACGGGGGAGGGGAACAGAGGCGGAGGAGGGTGACTTGCCCAGGCCCCCAACAGGTCCATGATCGAGCTGAGAGTGTGGGCTCCTGGTCCTAGTTTAAAAACACTGGGCATGTTTAGTCTTGTGAAAAGACAACTGAGGGAGGACCTGAGAATAGCCAGGAAGGGCTGTTATAAAGAGGGTGGGGATCAGCTGTTCTCCGTGTCCACTGAAGGGAGGACAAGATGTGATGGGCTTAATCTGCAGCAGGGGAGATTTAGGTTGGATAGAAGTAGAAACTTTCTAACCCTAAGGGGAGTAAACCTCTGGGACAGGCTTCCAAGGGAGGTTGTGTGATCCCCTTCACTGGATTGGACAGACCCCGGTCAGGGCTGGTCTAGGGTTACACGGCCCAGCCTCAGTGGAGGGGGCTGGCGTTGATGACGTCTCGAGGTCCCTCCCAGCCCGACGTTTCTCTGATTCGAGGATTGCTGACTCTATTGCACAGCGGGTCAGGCAAGCACCCCACGTTTTCCTCCCTGTCCCCAGTGGCCAGGATTTCCTGAGCTTGAGAAATGACTGCGACGCTTTAGAAATTGGTGGCAGCATTTCCAAGTTGCGGGGTGGAGGAGGTGGGGGACACCTCCAGGTCTTTTTATCAGAGGGTTAAGCCCCATTTTTGCACTCAGATCTGCACCCCCCCCCATTTAGGGTAGCTCTCTGACCGTATGCCTTGTCTCTATCCTCACACATGTCTGAGCAGAGTTCCACAGCGGGGGGGCCCCCCCTTGATCCCTCTGCAGCAGTGTCCCCCGCGGCTGGCCAGCTGCTGTTTCCCCTTAGACCCCTCCACACCTTTGAGGCTTCACCCTTTTGGCAGGCGTGGTCAATGCTGTTCCTGCATCCCAACAGAGGTCACAGAGCCCCAACCGTTTCCCTGCTGCTCTCCTTTAACTCCTGACACCGCCCCTCTCCTTACCTGCTGCATCCAGCGCCAGCTGCATTTCATGGATGTTCATTGTCCCTGTGAGGTCCACGTCGTACTCGATAAAGACAGCCTGTCAAATGGGAGCAGAAGAGTTAGGATCCAAGAGAGTACACGGGCTTAAAATCACACCCTGCCCCATCCCTGAGCCAGAGGCCAGCACCAAGAGGAATCTAATTCAGGGTTTTACACGGAGCCCAATCCACATGCAGCCCCCTGGTCAGTGCATTTTGTGGGTCTCTGGCCCCAGTCAGCGCTGGGAAGCGGCAGCTCTCCCTGACTTGGCTGGAAGTTGTGACCCCTTGGCAGCTCTGAAGATCAAGCCCAGTGCCAGAGGCATTAGCTCAGAGAGGTGTGAACTGCCTCTGTCCCTCTCGGGAAAGGGTGAACGCAGAGGCCCAGTGATCATTTAGGTGTCCGATAACTATTTCGTCACTGATTTAAGAACGGGGAGGGAGGTTCACTGAGCCATACAACGTACTGTGAGCGATGCCTTATTTTGGTGACTCGCAAGGGCAGAGCTTGGAAGAGTACCAATCTTCCCCTATCCCCTGGAGCCCCTTTACTGGGCAGCCTACAGAGATGGGGATTGTTTGCTTCTCCGGAAGGGCAGCATGGCTAATAACCCAGCCGCTGCGTCACTCTGGGGGGGTGGGACTCGAACCTGTGACTTTCTGCCACCATGCGTACCTCCCATTCTTTAATTTTGCTCCACAGGTGCTTGAACTCTGGCAGCGTCAGTTTGCCGGTCTTGCTGTGCTGATGCCGCTCAGTGAAGGGAAAACACCAGCCCTGCGCCGGGAGGAGATCCGCAGCTCTCTCCGATTCCTGTTTCCCACCCGGCTGGCTTTTGTAGCAAAGGGGAGCCTGTCTCAACTTCCCCTGTTCTCCCACCACCGTTCCCCGTTCACAGGGCAATGGAGAGCTTGGTGTCTGTGGGCTGCGCCCAGAGCGGGGAGCCCCATTGGGGTATCCTCCGCAATGAGGTGAACGTGGCTCTTTGGACAGTTTTGCCTGTGGGTAACCCATCCTAGGTTATCAGGCTACTACAACTCACGCCTGTGGGCTGTAAGCCCTACATCTCAATGGGAATTAGGTGCCTTAGTACCTCTGAGGAGCTGGGACAAACTTCTTTAGCTCACACAGTGGTAGGCACGTGCTTCTAGGTCCAGGGTTCAAACCCCACTGACCCAAGTGGGATTAGCCCTTTGAGCTCATTGATGGGGTTTCCCAGCAGGAGGGTTGGCAATCCAAAGTCCTAAGATCCCTTCATCATAGAGAGCCGGACCCCAGAGGCACTGCCCCTTCCTTATTCATGCAAACAGCTCCCTCCTCCCCCAGCGAGGTCCTGTTCCCAGGCGGCTCTGGGGCTCAGCTCAGGCCAAACCCACCCATAGAGCAAACATAGGAATTGCCGGAAACCAGGGAACCAGCTACTCAAGTTTCCCATCTCCAACAGTGGGAACAGGGAACAGTGGAAGAGCCACACAATCGGAAGATACGGGACAATCTGCCCCTTTGATCTGTAATACGCATTGCCAGCAAGAGAAGACGGAGGCTGAGCATTGCTATCCCAGTTACAGCTGAGTTCCCTCATGCCAGGGCCTCGTCGTGGGGTTACCCTGTCCTGGGCCATGTGATGTTTTTTTCTTAACATCTCCCACCCTAGTTTTCTTCTCCAAAGGATACATCAAAGTGCTGGATGATCTTCTGGCAGAGCTCCAGGCCAAACCCATTCGTCTTCAGTTGACTCTCTGCAAGGTAGGCATGTGGCGATGTTAGATAAAGGCTTATCTCATAGCGGTGGGCAAGACGGGGGTTTGGCCCATCATCTTTGCTGGGCCTGCAGCTGTCAAGAGGCACCGAAGCAGCCTGAAGTGTTTGCCATGCTCCTGGAGGGGAGGGGAGTCTAGTGGTTGGAACAGGGGAGTCTGGGAGTTACGACGGCTGGGTTCTGTCCTTGGCTCAGGGAAGGAAGTGGATTCCACAGAGCGGGCTGGGAGTCGGGAGGGGATTAACTTCTACTGGTTGAAACTGGAGTTGGGGATCAGGGCTTCTGGGTTCTATTTGCAGCTTTTCCAGTAGAGGACAGAGAGTGTTATACAGTGGTTGGAGCAGGCGGCGGGGGCCGGGGGGGGTCAAGCCTCCTGGATTCAATTTCTGCTGCTGGGACGGTATGTGACCTAATGGTTAGAGAGAGGGGACTGGGAGTCACCACTGCTGAGCGATATTCTTCGCTCATGGTGATTGGAGGGGTTGCGGGGGAGAGTGTGTTGTGTTGTCCAGTGGTTAGAGCAGGGGACTGGGAGCCAGGACTCCTGGCTTCTCTTCCTGCCTCTGCTGCAGACTGCCTGTGCAACCTTGGGCATGTCACTTCCCCTCTCCTGTGCCTCAGTTTCCCCATCCCTCAAAGGAGGAGAACTGTACTACTTTACCTCGCAAGGGGGAAAGGCCAAGTGTTCCACCTGCAGAGACACCTGCCGGACAGGTCCTGTCTGAACTGGTCAAACACTGGCTCCCTTGGTGCTGAACTGTTTTATTTCCATTGTGACCAGACCCTTTCCTGTCTTGAGAGGGAGAAAGCCTGGGACAGGCCAACTTTCCACCCTCTAAGCTGAGTCCGTTGGAGGTTGCAGACAGAGTCGGGGATGTTTTGGGATTAAAGCTCCTCTCTGGGACAGCAGGGCTAAGGAGTGCAGGGAAGGTAGAACCAATTCCCTGGTTCCCTCGAGAGGTGATTGTGCAGGGGCACTCACGCTTTGCCGTGACCTTGTTCAGGATATCCTGCAATTTGGCAGTGTCGATCTGCTTGTCCTGCCAACCAAGCAACACAAGTGGATTTAAATGGGGTTTCCCAGAAGTGGGATGGATGGTCCAGGGGTCAGCGAGCTAGCCTGGTACTGGGGTCAATTCCTTGCTTTGCCACAGACTCTGTGTCAACCTGGGCAAGTCACTTAGCTGCTCTGTGCCTCAGTTTCCCCACTGTACAATAGGGGTAATCACACTTCCTCCTACCAGCCCCTGCGAGGTAGGGATGAGAACATCAGAGCTGCCACACTTGGTCAGACTAGGGTCCATCTTGCCCAGGATCCTATCTCTGACAGTGGCCCATACCAGAGCTTAAGGGGAAGTGTACAGAACAGGGCAATCATGGAACGATTAACCCCTGGCTTCTGGCAATCAGAGGTGTAGGGTTGCCCCGACCATTGGGTTGTGTCCCTGACCATCTTGGCTAATAGCCATTGGTGGATCTGTTCTCCATGAACTTATCCAGTTCTTTTTTGAACCCCATTATACTTTTGGCCAACCCCTGGCAATGAGTTCCACAGGTTAATTGTGCATTGCATGAAAAAGTACTTCCTCTTGTTTGTGTTAAATCTGCTGCCTATTAATTTTACTGGGTGACCCCTGGTTTTTGTATTGTGGGAAAGGGCAAATAACACTTCTCTTTTCACTGCTTCCACACCGTTCGTGATTTTCTAGACCTCTATCATATCCCACCCCCCCCCCCTTTAGCTATCTCTGTTCTAAGCTGAACAACCCTAATCTATATGAAAGAGCATGGGGTGCTCAGATACTGTGTTAATGGGGGGCAGACAAATACCATTGGATTGATTGATTTTCCCCCCATAGAGAACACTGGAAATAGCCAGTTGTCTTTTCCATCCTTGCAACCCCTGTGTGGCTTCAGTTCATCTGAGGTCAGAACTTGGCCCCAAGAGCAAATCAAAGCGTTCGTAGGAAATCCAGAGCCCAGCTGTGTAGAAAAAGAGCCCAATAACCCATCCCATTCAAAACATTCAAACCCAGGATCCTCCCCACCCCACTCACCAGTCCTGCAAGCTTCAGGAAGGTTTGCTCGAATTCCTCCTCGTTGGGGATTCTCTGGGGAAAGAGGGTCAGGTTTTCAGGCCAGCTGCCTGTGGCATTTTGCCTAAAATATTTTCACCTTGTGAAGAAACTCGGTGGAATCTTTTCCTGCAACACAAGAGGCTCTGCTCTGGGTGCCGCTAGAGGGGGCCAAGGAATGAGGGATCATTGGGGTGAGACGTGGTAGGAAAGCTACCCCAGCGTGAAAGGCTGAGGAAAAACCATGCCCCCAATTTTCCATTTAGTTTCGGATCATTCCTAGGTTTTTAGTCCCTCCGAGGGAAAATACTAGGGCTGTTTTTTCTCTTTTGCATTTCTAACCTGCTGCAGATGGGGGGCAAATGGGTTGTCAATGCACAAATCCGCACTCGTTTCCTTACAGCCATTTGGGGCTTATTGACACATGAACCGGAACCAGATCCCTTGTAATTCACACCGCCGGTTATTTTGGTGCCCACCTGTGCATGGACATTTTGGTTTAAGAGCACTGTAGGCTGCTGGCTGGTCCCCCTAGCTTTGGAGAAAATCAACACCACACCCAGAATCTCGGTGCACCGACACCTTCAACAAACCCAGACAGAGGACAGTTCAGCATAAATCCAGTCACTAACTTTCCATTGAACCAGAGTCTCCCTTGCCAGGGCTTCCCTGCTCCTGGCAACTCTTCCCAGTCCTCGCTGATGCCTGATACTCCCCTCTGCCAGGCCCAAAGCCCTGTTCTTAAAGGGGTGCTGCTTCAGGACAGGACTGGCCAGCCCCAGCTCTCTGGCCCTTAGCCATATGTCTACACTGCAGTAAAAAACCCTGCCTCACTGTGTCTCAGAGCCCAGATCAATTGCCTCAGGCTCGGACTATGGGGCTAAAAATTGCAGTGTAGACATTCAGGCTTGGGATGGAGCCCAAGCTCCGGGACCCTCCTCCTTCACGGGGTCTCAGGGGCTGGACGCCAGCCTGAGCCCGAACATCTAAATGGCAACCGTTAGCCCCATGGCCTAAGTCAGCCGACCTGAGCCAGCCACGGCTGTGCTGCAGGGCTTTTACTGCCGTGTAGCCGTACTCTAAAGGGGCAGCCCAAGTGCCATGACTTGTATTAAATTAGAGATAGGAGGTTCCCACGCTAAAACCAGTGTCGACACGCTGACTGACAAGAGGTGGTGAATTACCTGAATTAACCGACCTGTGTGAACACTTGTTTTGGTTTCTTTTCATAGGCCAAAAGGTGCCTTAGAGGATCTCGCCTGACCTCCTGCATAACACTGGCCAGCCAGTGCATTTTATCCAGATGCCCCTGTACCGAGCCCAACAAGGTATGTTTGGCTAATGCATCTCTTCTGGTGTCCGGTCTGGATCTGAAGACACCGCGAGATGGAGAAACGACAACTCCCCTTGGGAGTTTGTCCCAGTGGCTAATCACCCGCACGGTTAAGAAAGTGTTGCCTGATGTCTGAGCCAGAATTCATCTGGCTTAGGCTTGTTAGCATGAGCTGAACTGACCTCAGCCTGATTTACATGGAAATCAAAATGTCTTAAAAATTACAGCTTCAGTTACCAACCCTGCCACTGCGGGATGGAAGCAAAGAGCAATTGCACAGTCTGGTAGTGTCTCATCATTAAGAACATCCCTAGTTTTTCCCTTTTCTGGTTTCATTCCACACCCTCTAAATTCTCCTTTCGGAGGGGATCACCCCAAAGGGCTTTGGGGCAATGGAAAGAATCCCATTGGCTTGAATGAGCCTTGGATCAAGCCCTGTGTTAATATCGTTTATCCAACATGGTGTCCGCACGACTCCCTCTGTACACTTGTGGTCACGTTGATTGCAGTGTGTACCCACCTACAGTTCGGAAGAAAGGCTGCTATCTTTCTTAGCTTTGGCTTATGTTCATCTATAAATCCCTTTAACAGCAGCTGCGTGCATTCAGCCAGGAACAACCCTGGCTACATTTCAGAAGGCTCCCTTCCCCAACCCCGCCCACCCCCTGCCCCTTCCTCCACCTGAATCCACATGTATAGTGGCTGAGTTTGTCCTGCAGAATGTTCTCAAGAGCCGCTGGCTGATGGTTTTTGTGCTTCCTGGCTAGGTGTGTTTCACCAGCGAGTGGACTTAGCCCTGCGTTGGGGACGCGGAAAGGACGGTGTTGAAAATTCCTTGGAAGCACATTGAGATGCTGGGATGGAACGTGCTTCACTGGTAAGCGTGACTGTCCACAGTAAGTTAGCCGAGATGCTGTTACCTGAGGGGGTCTCATGTCTGCTCTGATTTCATCATCGATTTCCCTGGAAGTCACAAAAATATTACACAATAGCTTGTTAAGATGGGCACTCAGTATTTGTCTATCTGAGGTACTTCGATCGATGGCCCTCTGTTACTGGAGAACTGAGCGCCTCACCCTCTTTAGTGTATTTATCCTCATACACCTGTGAGGTCGGGAGGTGCTCTTCTCCCCATTGTACAGACGGGGGAAGTGAGGCTGTGAATGGCTTGCCCATGGTACAGAGGAACGCTTTGGCAGCCCTGGGAATTGAGTCTCCTTATCCCTTCCTCTCAGTATCGGGTTGTTTTCTTTACTCTTTTCCTTCTCTCTCTCTTCTTTAGCATCTTCCTTTTGTTTAGCCATTTAGAGTCAGCGTTGCAGCCCTCTCTGGGACAGCACTTGAGCAAATGCTTAATATGCTTAGACGTGCTTAAAGTTAAGCATGTGCTTTGCGAAACAGGGATGGATTTAAGCGCTTGCTTAAAATGCATTGGTGATCTGAGGCCTTAAACTGTGCCACGCCGCCTGCTGCTGCCATTGCACTGGTGTCCGATAGAGGGCGCTATCCCACTGGACCACACCCACACCCCGTTTGATCCCTTGCCCAGCTCCAGTGTTAGGAGACCACTCTGCAGTGGCAGGGGTTGAAAAGAATCGCCATGCAGCGGATGGGAAATGCATGCAGCGCCTCGAGGTACCAGGCTGCTGTATAACGTGGATTAGACATCACACACCCCCTCTGGTGAGCTAGGTATTTAACTTCATTGTAGGGATGGGGTAACTGAGGCACAGAGCAGGGACACAACTTGCCCAAGGTCACACTGGGAGATGGGGGAAGAATTGGGAAAAGAATCCCAGTCTCTTGAATCCCAGCCCCTGTGCTCTGACCACTAGCTAATATTCCCTTGGAGATCCAGGAAAAGAACCCAGGAGTCCTGACTCCCAGTCTAACCGTTAGCCCCCATTGCTCTTCCCAGAGCTGGGAATGGAACCCAGGAGTCATAACCCCCCATTGTTAACCTAACCGCTCCCCGACACATCTGGGGCAGGGCCCCCACAGTCCTGACTCCCAGTCCCTTCTTTAACCCCTCAGCCATGCTGTCGATGGGCGTCAAAGTGCAAAACCGTGCAAACCCCTGTTCACGGCTTCTCTTTGCAAGGCCCGTGGGTGTCAGGGAGCTGGGACTCACAGGAACTTGTGTGCCTTCTCCGTGAAGATGCGCAGGATGAAATCGGACTCCTCCATCGGGTAGCCAGTGCTGGGGATGATGAGATAATCCCCTGGCGGCAGCCTGTAGCGTCCGGTGACATCCCTCATAGGGATGTGCGAGGTCCAACACACAGCATGGAGAGGCTGGAGCAGCGCCCTCCTCTGGGACATGGTCTTCTGCTCCAGGTACTGCGGGGAGATGGGTCTGAAATCAGTGGGAGTTGGGTGCCAAAATAACTCTGAGGGTCTGGGCCAGTCAGTGTGGAACTTGGTCAGTGACTGGGCTTGTAGTCTGCTGGGGCGGGCTCCAGTTGTTGCAGAGGTATTGGGTTTGCTTGCCTCCTAGCCAGTTCAAACCAGCTGAGTTCCAGGGAAGCCAATGGAGTGACACCCGTTTAGATGGGCTGGCGATCTGGCCCCATTGACAGCACCCAAAGGAACAACGCCAATTTATACCACCCGGGGATCTGGCTCTGTTCACTCCTTTTAGATCCCATTCATTGATCTTTCCCGCAGTTCCCAACATGGCCCAAGCTGCTCTCTGAGCCATCCCCATCAGCATCCCCGTGTTTTAACCTCTGCGAATCAACCGCCTGGCCACAAGCTGGGATGAAAGTCTGGCCCATGCACGGAGAGCCAGGGCTGATGGAAAGCCCAGCTTCTCTCTCGCTAGTTACCTCCTTGGGCATCTGTAAGAGAAAAACAGCAGAGAGCGACTGAGCAAGAAACCCTGGTGGTCTCTGTGGTCCTCCCCTCCCTCCCCAGGGCTCTTCTGCTCCCTCCGCTGGGACACAGGGCAGGCTCTGACAGGGGGCTGCGCACACCACGTCCCTACAGCGTCACTCACGAGGAGCATCGGGGTTCCCAGCGGGATGCAGAACCTGCTCCATTCCCGCTGACTGGAGCAGGCAGCTTCCTTACAGCACCACCCTGCCCTGCCCGGGGCTTCTCAAGGAAGCCGTAAGAGGCTGCCGCAGCCTTGTGGTGAAGGCAGGAGACTGGGGGTCAGTTCGCGTCTCTCTGGGCCTCCCTTCCCCACCTGTCGCGTGGAGGAGAACGCTCCTTCCTCCGTCTGTTCAGGGGCTGTCTCGCTTGACTTCTGCGCAGCACCTGGTGCAACGGGCACCCCGATCTTGGTGGGGTTCCAGGCAGCGCCCAGCATGAGGGGGCCTTGACCTCAGTTGGGGCGTCTCACTCCTCTTTGACCTGTCCCACTTCCCAGCACCCAAAATCCCCCTTGCTAATACCACCTTCCTCGCCCCTGACCCCAGTCCCAGGGTTGACTCTTCTGGGGGGATTATTTGCCTCTGGATGTAAGGGGGCCAGGGTCTCACCCTTGGCTGTCACTGCAAATCCAAGCGCTGCGGGACAATTGCCCCAAGCCCCTTGGCCAGGGGCGGGTAGCATAGCCGCTGGCACCCCCTTGGGGCTGTCACTCTCCGTGGGCGAGGACGCCCCAGCAAGGAGCTAGATGGAGCCCGCTGGGTGGGCAGAGAAGGGTTGGTGTATTGGGCCAGTGAGCTCAGTGGGAGGTGCTCCGGCTGACCCCAGGGTGGAGCGAGGCCCCTTACACTTCCCGGGGTCAGCCCTTACCTTCAGGATCTCAAAGCCAATGGGCAGAAAGTCCTTTCCCCTCTTCCTGCCCTGGCGCCGGTCCTTCTGCATCAGGGAGACCAGCAGGGTGCAGCTGGGGTCCAAGCGCTGCTTCCGCAGGTTGGACTCATCCGCCTCCAGCAGGCGGACATTGTACTGGGGGTTCATCCAGAAGTTGTCTGAGGGGGCGAGGCCAGTTCAGTCTCAGCATCGGCGTGGGGGGAAAGGGGGAGGCGACATTGCCCTTTATGCTTGGGGGGGGGGGGCAAAGAACCTCCCCCCACCCCTAGGAATCCCTGCAATTGCTTCAGCATGCAACAGCCCCCCCCCGCTGCATCCACTCCCCCCAGCCCATGTGGGGGGCTGTGGGTGGAAAAGGCCCTGTGGATCTGCCTAGTCATTGATCCCCCAACCCCATCCCAGGTTCTGCCCCTAAGGCCCCTGTGTGCACCAGCCGGCAGGCCCCCCCGCCATACACAGCCGCTTGGCTCCTGCAGGGGCTCCTTGTGCCCTGCCCCACCCCCACCCCCCCGGATCTGCTGCAGCCCCTCAATCCCGACCCGCAGCCCCCTGTAATTCCAGGGCCAGCTGACATGTTGAGTTCTCTCTGTGCTCCGTCTCAGGGGGGTTTCTCAGTGGGGACAAGCTGTGGGGCTCAGGCTGAGGATCAGCAGCCTTTGTTCACCCTGACCTAACCATGAGAGGGCTCATGAGCCAGTCCCTCTCCCCACTCCTCCTTCGGGCAGAGGCCTTTACCTCGAAGGCCCGAGCTCCTGCACCCGCCGGCGGTATAGCCGATGCTCCAGCGCCCCTGGAAGGAGTGAACGTTCCAGGCGACCACCTCCTCCTCTTCCAGCAAGTCTGGAGTCAGGCTGCAGATCTCCAGGCCGTCAAAGTACCGCAGGAACTCGTCCATTTGCATCCTGTCCGTTGAGAGAGACAGAGAGAGAGCAGGGAGGTGCAGACACAATCTAGTACTGGTCTGTCAGGAAGCCCTGGAGCACCTGGCTCTGAGCAGGATCCAGCGGCCCAGCTCCCCAGCTGGCAGAAATCAGTTCAGTCCTGTCCACTCCAGTGGAGCTGCACCAGTTTACACACCAGCTGGGGACTGGGCCCCATTCTCTCCCCACGCTTGTAGAGACTCACACGTGGCCTAGCCTGTCTCTTTACTGCATCCCTGTGCAATAGCAGGGATTCCATCTAGCAGGCCAGGGCACCAGACGGGGAGCCCCAAGACCTGGGTTCTATTCCGAGCCCTGCCACTGACCTGCTGGGTGATCTTGTGCCAGGCGCGTCCCCTCCCTGTGCCTCAGTTTCCCCTCCCAACATTTGTTTATTTCAACTGTAACTTCTCTGAGGCAGCTCCCAGCACAAAGCGGGCGCTGATCACAGTTGGGGTCTGTGCAGCACCTGGCACAACGGGGCCCTTGTTCTCGGTCAGGGTCCTTGCAGCACCCAGCACAATGGGGCCCCGATCTTTGTCAGGGTCTGTGCAGCGCCTGGCATAACAGGGACCTCAATCTCGCTCGGAGGCCTGGGCACTACCATAATGCTACTGGTAATAACACTAGTAATGCGAAACAGCGCCGCCTGTCATACTTGACACGCCCTGCGCTGCCCTTTCCCACCCCTACCCCGGTATCAGCTCCCCCAAATAGTCCCCTTTGTTGTGTGAGGGGCTGGGTCTCTTACCAGAATTCCCCGTCTTCCTTTCTCACTTGTAGGCTCTTCTGGAGCTGGGGATCCAGCCCTGCCCACAGCGAGGAGCTAAGCAGAGAGGAGAAGGGTGCAGGGGTTAGATGTGCTACCCGGGACTCTGCCACCCAGTGTCTGGGCCATATAGACCCTGCACCTGCCCCAGAGTTACTGGCTCAGGTCCTTTAGCTCTGGCAGCTGAGGCTTGTGCTTTGAGATGCAGAATCCCACTCCAGGCATGTAGTTGTGATGGGGGGAGTCACCAGGTTTCACACAGCCTTACAAGTTCTTCGTGTGTGAGCAAGGGTTCAGTCTTTGAAGAAACACCGCGTTGTCATTCATTTCATTTTGAGGCCCTCTGGCAAGCAGCCGGGGAGTTTGCGCTCCACCCTCACTCAAGTCAGCTCTTGGGGGTGGAGCCGGGAACCGCGTGGTGGGGCTGAGATCCCTGAACGAGGGGCTCACCTGAGTGCCGCGTGGGACCAGCCTTGCTCCAGGACTGGCATGTCTAGTGTCAATAAATAAGTTGTACTGAGAACATTCCCTGATGCCACATCCCTGATTTCTCTTCCAGTGGGAAACTAGCCCCCCAACGCCCCGTACGCTGCTGCTTGCAGAGGGGTGACGAGCTAGTGAGCACGGGAAACTAAGCTAACGGAGCTGGGTCTGTTAGCTCAGGCTGGGAAGGCTTGTGTTTCCTAGTGCAGAGACCCTGGGTGTAATCGCTGCTCACCCATAAAGTAACACAGCCTGGGGGTGATGTATGTTGCAAGCAGTTGTCAGAACACTGTCGTGTTCCTCATTAAAACTCTGGTGTGCCCCTCGGGTCCACCCCACTCTTTTCCCCACACTCACTGGTCGCTCCACCGGCCGTTCCACTCCACCTTTCCCCAGGGGTTCCTCAGCCGCAGCAGCTTTAACTTCTTGCCCCTGTGATCCAGCTGTACAAAGGCACACGGGGAAAAGGGCTTGAATCGTGGCACGTGATCGGCATTCAGGAAGGTTGCTGGGACCCTGCCCGGCCCATCACGCTGACCAGTCATGGCTCATTGTTTCCTTGGGCCCTGTCTGTGTCTACCTGTCAACCCTTGTGTTATCCTTCGCCTCCAGTCTGTCTTTCTGTTCTCTGTTTGTACAGCGCCTAGCGCTGTGGGGCTCTGTGCTGTGAAAGGCTCCCAGGTGCTACGGTGATGTGGTAATTATCGAAGGATGGTTGAGGCGCTTGCTTGGAGCTCCCCTGGCCTCAGTTTCCCCATTTGTATAATGGGAATTTTGTGGGCTAGTTAGATCAGTGATGGGCAACTGGAAGGTAGCAGAGGGAGACAATATGTACTAAAATCCTTTTGGGGGGGATTGAGTCCTGACAGCCTGTCACGGGGGCAGGGGTGGGATGCCCTGGCAGGGGGCAGTTAGCAAACCCACCCCGCAGCGGCAGGTCCTGTCGTGCAGGCTGGGCCCAGCTCCCCCTCCAGCCCGTTGGCTCTCACCAAAGTGTCATGTGACCTGCACATCCACATGCAGGCGGGGAGCCCCCCAGGATATCTCCCCGCTGCACTGCCTGATCGCCTGCCGGGGGTGGCCGCCCAAAGAAGACGACGCAGCGGGCCAGGCTGGCTCCCTGGTTTACAGTGGAACCCCACTGCGGCAGGGATTGTCTGTGCAGCACCTGGCACGATGGGGCTCTGATCTCGTTGGGGGCCTTTGGGTGCTCCTGCGATACGCTTCACAGAGCTAACCAGGCTGTGTCTCTGCCCCCAGAATCCCCGAGCGCCACCCGGCACTACGTTCTGCGCTCCCTCAGCCAGTGGAAGGAGGGGTGGCTACGGGCCCACCTTGCGAGCAGCCGTTATGGAGTAGGCGTGTCCCTTCACCAGCCCCTCTGGCATGAGTCCCTCCATGTCCTCTTTCTGGGAGATCTAGGGGAGAGGGAAGAAACACACCCCCCCCAATCAGGCTTTGCCTACGCTACGGCAAGGTACTCCGCTGAGAGACTTGGGGTCCCCTTGCCATGCCTGCTACACCCACTCCCGCCAAGCGCCCCCGGTGTGTGCCAAACCCAGCCGGGTTAGAACCGCAAGCAGCACGGGCTGATGGGTAGGATTGTGCACTGGGACCCTCAGAGCGCAGGGTGTTACTCCCACCTCTGCTACTCAGCCGGGTCATTCCCCATCCTGCCTGTTGTCTTGTCTGTAGAACGTCAGCTCTTTGGACTCTGCATTTTACAGAACCTAGCATAATGGGGGGCCCTGATCTTGGCCAGGGGCTGGGCAGCGCCCGGCCCGATGGGGCCCTGATCTTGGCCAGGGGCTGGGCAGCGCCCGGCCCCGACGGGGCCCTGATCTTGGCTGGTATCTGCAGCACCTGGCACAACGGGAGCCTTGATTTCGGTCAGGGTCTGTGTAGGTCTGGTAGCCAACATCATAGTAGGCTCCTAAACAGCTGTGTGGCCCAGCCACCACTAGAAGGAGCCAGAACCACACAGGAGAAGTGCAACCCTCACACATGCCAGGAGCTGGTTAAGATCCCAAGGTCCTGGGTTCAAGTTTTGCTCCTGGTGCTCCACCGGGGGCCCAGCATTACATCAGCTGCTGAGAGGAGAGATTCTCCCTACGCTCACCTTGATGTGTGCCCCCATCAGAGACCTCTTCCTGAGGGCCACGCGGATAACCTTGAAGAGCTCTGGGTTGGGCATCTTGAGCTGGTAGCTTTCGCCGACCCCGCCCGTGAAGTCCACAAAGGCCTCGTTCATGTACCCGCCGTTCATGGCCTCGTAAGAGCCATTGAGCCTGAAACAGATATTGGGGCAGTGAGTGGGAAGGGGAAACAGAAAGGGAGCATGCAGGATTGGGAGGCAGGACTCCTGGGTTCTGTGCCCAGCTGCAGGTGGAGAGTGGGGTCTGGTGGATTAGAGCAGGGGGGGTTGGGACTCAGGACTCCTGGGGCCTATGACAGTGACTGTGTGGTTTTGGACAGGCTCTGTGCCTCAGTTTCCCCCACCGTCAACTTGGGAAAATGAACCTTTCCCCCTTTTCTCGGCTCTCTGAGTTCTCTGGCCAGCCAGTGCAACATCAGTACCAAGGATTGCTTTGTTCCCCAGCTACATAGCCTCATGGCAATGCAAGGCTGGGGGCAAAGCTACCCGGCTGTAGGGCAGGGATGAGCCAACTCACTTGGCATAGGCTTTCTCCAGTAGGGGCATCCAGAATTCATTGCTCTGGCAGGAATGCACGAAGACCAGTTCGCCGTTCTTCACAGGCAGCCGGTCGTCAACCACCACATCCACCCACTGCCCGTACTGCCAGAGCTGGAGAGTAAGAACCCATTAGCACAGTGCATGCTGCTACCGGACCCAAAGGTCAATACGTTTCCGTCAGTGACTCCACTATTAAGCCTAATAGTGTTGGTCCCTGAGATCTCCCTGATCCAGTTTAGGAAGGCAGAAGCCAGTCCCTGGTATCCAAAAGGTTGAGAAACACTGAACTGAAGCCTTTCCATTCAACAGTGCCATTCTGGTGCCTTATGGGAGGAGTTGTTCAGTCACCTTGTGTTCCTAGTCTCCTCTATGGGCCAATCCCCCTGGTTGGACTACATCTCCCATGATGCCCCATGGCCAGGGAGGCCTATGAAACACGCCCTCGAAGAGGCAAGATGGTGATGCATCCTGGGAGATGTAGTCCAAACCTGGGAGCCCTGGCCATGCAGGAGAACAGGCACATGAGACCCTGGAACTACAATTCCCATGAGGCACCATGGTGGCAATTTTGTAAATCAAAATATTTCAGGTTTTCGGGCATTTGATGGAAAAATTTTGGTCAGGCCCTCAATCCGGGATCAGCCCCACAGCAGCACCCTCATATTGGAAAGTCTCCAGCACAGAGCACCACTGGTCAGTGCCATGAAGTTCTGAGCCAAATTCCCCATGCGTCTGAGGTTGTTCAGAGCCAAGGTTTTGGCTTAGTCCCGATTGATGCTTTGGGTGGCGGGGGCAGGGGACACCGGTTTGCTGGGACATCGCATGCTTGGGAGCTCGACCTGAATGACCCTGCTTGCTACTTAGGGGAGATTGGAAACAATTGGGGTGGAGGAGTTGGAGACTAGGGGCTAGGAGAAGGTGAACAGCACATCCTGAGCGAGAGATTTCCATGACAGCATAAGGAGTGACATGGAGCAGAACGCAAGAGGTGCGGAAAGTGGCCAGGGCTGAGCTGTGGGTGCCTCTCGCTTCTGACAATCGGACCCTTCGTCCGTTTGGTCTTTCTGCGTTGAGGTTGGACAGCACCTAACGCATTGGCACCTGGGGCCCCACAATGTGCCAACCCTGAAGTAAAGGCTCCCTTTCACTCCTAATACACAGCCTAGGCTACGATCCTGCAACTGCCCTAGCCACCCCACCTCCCCCCCCGGCCAGGTGGGGAAATACCCCCTCTGTCTACCACCATCCGCCAGCTCCCCTGACCAGCCCCATTTTGGTCCCGCAGGCTGGGCAACCCACCTGGAAATGGAAGATGCCAGCATAGTCCTCTCGTGCAAAGCTTTGCTCTCTGGGTACCACCCTCTGCATGAGCCGTGGGTAGAGGGTGAGAGACGCAGCTGCAGCCAGGAACCAGCAGTTGCCTGTTGGAGGGGTGAGTGGATTGGGACAGTTCTGTTGCTGGATCATTTGAATCATTTGAACCCACGACCTTTGGTGCTAACAGCTTCAGCTAAACCAGCTGCGTTGGCTCGGAGACGGACTCGCATCCCACAGAACTCTGTTCACCTAGTTAGCAAGCTGTTTCCCTGGAAGCTCTTCACACTTTCCAAGGTTTGCATTAATCTGTTGCAATAAACACACAAATGCTGGCATTTCTAATGCAATGAGCTCCTAAGGTGCTTATGTTAAACCATATTGAATGTAGTTTAATTCAGTAAGATTTGTCCTGGCGGTGGCAGGAAACTGCAGGGAAATTCTCTCTCATGTCTGTACGTGGGTTAGCCACTGGAGAGCAGGGCTGTCCCCCACGTGTGCCACTCCGGGCCAACAGGAAAGGCACAGCAGTTGTGAGGGTGCAGCTACTGCCCACGTGTGGCGTGAGGGCTCTGTCGGCAGGGCTAAGTTTGCAGCCCACCTCTTTGCGTATTGTCCAAGGTGGAAGATGAAACCACGTGCAGGGCGCTCAGAAGGGGAGGAGAAGGTGCTTACCCAGCTGGCCCTGTTTGACATCAGTCCGGCTCATTTCCTCTTCTATGAACTTTGGGGACCTGCAGATTTCCTGCAAGACAGAATAGAGAAGGGAGCTTTCTGGCTTGAGGAGCAGAGTCCAGCACGGATATTATACAGCAGGAGGGGAATGAATGGTTGACTGTCATTTTTTATACCGCGAGGGCAGGCGTCACCAGGTGGTGCTGTTACACGTAGTCTTCCGAGTTCTCAGTGTGCGAGCAGGGTTTGAGTCTCCTGCAGACATGCTGTGTAGTTTGGGGTTTGCACAAGGGTTTTGTGTAGCGGCAGTTTGGGGAGAGAGGGAGCTGGGAGAGTAGCCAGGTAGTTTGCTCTCTGCCTTTCACACTGTTGAGTGTCCGTTCCTGAGGCAGACTTGCTCCTTGAGCTTTGGCGTTGGTCTATGATTCCCAGGACAAGGTATCACCCTGCATGCTGTTTGACCATCTCACACCAAGACTGGGGCATGGGTGTAAATAAAGCAAGTTACACCTAGAATAGACACACACTCCACATCAGTGATTTCTCCTGCAATGGGAAGCCAAACTGCCGGGCTCCAGACACCTGCTGCCATTCAGCACAGGGGCAACAGTGGTGTCAGTAGTAGGATACTAGCGGCAGAAGAAGGGGCAACACTACAGATGTTGAGTGTTCTCATCTGAAAGCTATCTAGCCCTGTTCCCATCCCTCTGTTTACAGTGCACTCTTCACTAGCAACCGTAGCTTCAGCCGCAAACGACTTGCCACTCTTGTGGGGGCGCAGTAGAGATAGGATGTGGAGGGCGGGGGGGCATTAGGCCGGTCTCAGGACCTTTCATCCATTCCAGCTGATGGGAAATTTCCCATTTGCAGCTGAGCTTGCAAGATTTCCACCATCCCAGGCCAAATCGTTGCCAGCGCATCTTGCGTGGAACTCAAGCCCTGGTCTGGACTCAATTCGGTACTGGGATCCCTTTGACAATGGTGTGAGAGCCTGCCTCAAGCAGTCGGAGCGCTTGTGAGCTCATGATCAGTGCTCACTGCGAGACACACCTGGGTACAGGAAGAATTGGCAGCCTAACCTCTGCCCGACTCCGGTTTCTGATTAGTGAAACAAATCACTTCTCATTTGGCTAATCGTAAAGCAAACAACCTGGAAGCTACACTTCTGCCTATACTGCAACAGGGACTGAGAAGAGAGCTCCAGGCGAAGAAAACAAGTCACCTTCTTAATTAGAGACTTGCATTCTTGCCCTGTTAAGTGACAGCTTTGTTTGTGCCCGGGGCTGCTGCAGCCACCCCTCTGCCGTCCCAATTCCCGATGAACGAGACGCTGTGGTTACTTATTGCACTAGCTCCTAGAGATCCATTTTGGAGCTAGGGAAACTGAGGCCCAGAGAGATGCAGTAACTTGTCCAAGGACACGCCGGGGGCAGTTAACCAGGATTTGAACCCTATCTCCTGAGTCCACATCCAGTGTCTTAACCACAAGACTAACCTTGCTCAGCTTAGATGTGGGGACTCTCTCACTTGGTGTGTCTACACCTGGTGCGACAGGGCCCTGATCTCAGTTGGGGTCTGGGCAGCGTCCGGTGTGACGGGGCCCTGATCTCAGTCGGGGTCTGGGCAGCTGTGACGAAGGGGGACTGTTCTTAATGGTTCCTCTGAATAGTGTGGGGGTGCCTCAGTTTCCCCTGTGCAGTTCTTAAGTATTTAGGTGGTGGGATGAGGGTGTATGATCATTGCAGAGCCCTAGAGGGCAGGTGTGTGCAGGGGTCTGGACACAGAGAATGGCCGACACCCTGTTTCCTGGCCACGGATGGCCTGGGCCCTTCCCCCCTGCAAGGTGAGAGCTAAAGGGTTGGAGAACAAAGGAATCAGGTGACCTCCTGGCCCGGGAAAAGGGACAAAGCCCAGAGGAGGAGGGGCTGGAGGGAGTTTCAGTTTGGGGCTGGCTGGAGACATGGAGTGAAGTGCAGACGTGGTTGTCTGGCTCACTGCCCCCCAAAATGGACCCGGCTGAGGGGTCCTGTTCTCTGCACCTGCAAGCTCTGTGTTAGACCATGTTCCTGTCATCTAATAAACCTCTGTTTTACTGGCTGGCTGAGAGTCCCGTCTGACTGCGAAGTTGGGGGGCAGGACCCTCTGGCTTCCCCAGGACCCTGCCTGGGCGGACTCGCTGTGGGAAGCACATGGAGGGGCAGAGGAGGCTGAATGCTCCAAGGTCAGACCCAGGAAGGTGGAAGCCGGGTGAGCTGTGTGTCCTGCAGACAGGCTGCTCACAGGAAGGCAACTGCCCCAGAGTCCTGCCTGGCTTCATGGGGAGCAGTTCCAGAGCATCGCCCAGGGACTCCGTGACAACTGGTGGCAGAAGTGAGATGTACTGCACCCCATGGATGGCGCTTCCTGCAATAAGTGACTGGGGAGCAGTAAAACGAAGGGGGATTGATGAGGACCAGGCGTGCTGAAGAGGAGAGGAGCGGTTTCGGGGGGCGGTTAACCCCTGGGAGTGTGTGACCAGCGAGAAGGACTGTGCAGTAATGGGGTCCCCCTGGGGACTGCAGTGAGCAGTTTCAGGGGCGGAGGAGCCTGCGGCTTGGCCCTGGGAGAGAGAAGGACTTTTGCAGTAACAGGGTTCCCCGGGGGATTGCAGCGAGCGGGGGATTGCAGCGAGCGGTCCAAGGGGGGGAGGAGTCTGCCACTCGACCATGGCAGAGAGGTGGTGACCTCGAGAAGGGCTGGCACACGAGGGGTTCTCCCTGGAAACCGTGGGGAGCTGAGAGCACACAGGCCTGTGAGTCCACAGCAACTTGGGAAGAGCGGAGTGATGGCCTGTCACCGTCTCCTTAAGAAGGACACTGTAACCCTGTGCAGAAAGGGAGGGTTGAGCATTGGGAAGTTCACCAAAGCACAGTTCATCGTGCAGCTGGAGGAGGATGACCGCTCTAAGGAACAGATTTCTGACCCCAAATGGGGCTATAGCAGGATCTGGGAGCAGCTGGAGTAGTAGCCAGGCATCCCCAAGACTCCTGTCCCCGACCAGACGGGGGTCTTCACGATCGGGTTCCCCATCGGGGGATCGAGACGGACGGGATTGGAGCGGAGTCTGAGAGAGCAAGAGGACTGTGGGAGACAGCGAGAGCCCGAGAAAGAGCTGCAGAAGCAGCAGCAGCATGAACTGGCGGTGGGGGAGCGGAGAGGCCTAGGGGACCCCCCCCAGGGGTGAGTGGGGATAGACCCTGGGGGGCCAGTTCCACAGGGAACCTCGGGACTAAATTGCTGCCCCTAGTTAAGGAGGGGGGGGATGTGGATGCCCACCTCACTGCCTTTGAGCAGGCTGGTGATTTGAACCAGGGGGACCCTGCGGAAAACCCCCTGTGTCTAGCTCCCTTGCTGGGTCCCAAGGCCATAGACTCCGTCAGCCAGATGGGTGGGGAGGTGGATGGGCTCCCACTCCTGGCCCCAACCTGTATGTCTGTGTGGAGTCTCCTGGGGCCAGGCCCCTCGGACCTCCAGTGGGAGCGGAAGGTGATGGTCAATGGGGAGACATTCCTGGGGTGGCGAGATCCTGGGACAGAGGGAACTGTTGTCAGGCCCTGGGTGGTGCAGCCTCAGATGCCGAGGGGCTGTGTGAGCTGGGTGAGGGTCCCAGGGACGAAGCCCCTCGCCCTGCCTATGGCCCAGATCCCTGTGCAGACCCAGGAGGGGTGGGGCTGGCTGGCCGTTGGGGTTCTCCAGGACACCAGCTGCGAGACCCTGTTGTGGGGTGATTGTGTCTCTTTGGAACAGGATCCAGGCCCTGCTCCTGTAATGGCCAAGGGTTTGAATTTGAATCCAGGGAACCGATCGGTGGAGAGGGAAATGGTCAGTGAAAATGCAGATGACCTGGCTGGCAGGGGGGAGGAGCTGCTAGGCTCAGGCTACCTGCCTGCCTGTAACCAGCCCCCTGGGGCTCCCCGCCCCCCTTGCACACCGGAGAGGGGGACTCAGGTGGCTCAGGCTGGCTCTGATGCAGTGAGGAAAGCAGGGAGCTCGCTGCCTACCCCCACTGGGACAGCAAGGGCAGCGCTGAGCACAGTGGAAGCTGAGACCCCAGCTGAGTGGGGGGAGACACAGGCAGGGCAGGGGATCTGTGGGGAGTGGCAAGGTGCTTGGTAAGGAAAGTCTGGATGAGCCTAGGCAGCCTTGTGAGCTGATGGCTGTGTCTAGTCAGCAGCGTGGGAAGGCGAGGAGAGTGGAAGATGAGTGTCCCTGGACCTTACCTGTTAGCTGGGTGGAGAAGTGGGACAGGGAAGGAAACGTGCCTGTGTCTGCCAGGGGTATTGACTTGCCTGTGGAGGGAGCTACCCTGATCTCCAAGCAGTTGTCTGTGACCAGCCCTGTGTGCTGGGACAAGGGGAATGAGATCCCAAGCTGTGTGTCTGGGAAAGGAGAAAGTGTGTCCGGCTCTTCTTTGTCTGTGGAGCAGACAGAAGGGGCCTTTCAGCCTGTGACGGTTGAGGGCCGTGCAGTTGTCTCAGAGCTGGTTCTGGATTCAGCTAAAGCCCAGGAAGGGAAGAGTCCTAAGTTTGTGTCTGCTCGGGAGAATGGCCCTGTAACTAGGTCGCATCCAGTTAGTGTCCTAGCAAAATCCCAGAGCCCAGACAATTCTGGTGCTTGTATTTTGCCTGTTGCTAGTGTGTGGCTGGGAAAGGGTGTAGTAACTCTGTCTAATCAGGGTGAGATCCTAGCCAGGGCACAAGGAGAGTCTGAAGGTGATTTGATTGTGTTACCTACTGAGGGTGTGGAAACCTGTAGCAAGAAGGAAAAGATTCCTGAACTTGTGTGTGGCAAAGGGAAGGAGAATGCTTCTAACTTTTTATCTAGGAAGTCTGTGAGTTTGCCTGAACGGGGATTGTGTAGGAATCCGCCTGATGGGCCAGAGGTGATTCTGGATGTAAGGGAGACCCAGAAAGAGTCTGTTGTTGCTCAGGAAAGTGTTCCTCTAGAGCAAGTCCTATGTGAAGAGGGTAAGAGCAGAATTTCTGTGAAGGGTGAATTGTTGCATAGAAAAGCCCTAGGGAAAGGAATCCTCATGGAGTCTTTGCAAGCAGTTTACTGCAACTGAAGGGTGTGAAAGTGATTTAATCAAGAAAGCTTCAGTTCCTAACAACCAGAAATTTTCTGTTGTAAATGGATCCACTGACTTTCCTGTTGAAAGATCCAGTGTGGATAGCTTTGAGAAGGTCTCAGATGAAGTGAAAGCTGTTAAGAAAGTTAAACAGTCCGATAACCAAGTGGCTGTGTTTGGCCAGCTTGCTGGGGAGAAGACCCAATCCCAGTTTGACCCCCTGGCGTTTTGGGGTGGCCAAAGGGCACAGGCCACATAAACCCCGCATAAACCTTCCCACATGCGGCCTGCGAGTGCTATCAACCACCCCCGACCTAAGGGAGGGCGTGAAACTGGAAGGGCCTGGTGTAACTCCTACCAAGGAACGGGAGAGATGCTGGGGCATCCATGGGAACATTGGTGGCTTTGAACTTTCCCAGGTCACTGGCTAAAGTGACCCCGCTCAGTTCGATCTCGAAGGGGGGAGAGATGTGACGAAGGGGGACTGTACTTAATGGTTCCTCTGAATAGTGTGGGGGTGCCTCAGTTTCCCCTGTGCAGTTCTTAAGTATCTAGGTGGTGGGGTAAGGGTGTATGATCACTGCAGAGCCCTAGAGGGCAGGTGTGTGCAGGGGTCTGGACACAGAGAATGGCCGACACCCTGTGTCCTGGCCACTGATGGCCTGGGTCCTTCCCCCCTGCAAGGTGAGAGCTAAAGGGTTGGAGAACAAAGGAAACAGGTGACCTCCTGGCCCGGGAAAGGGACAAAGCCCAGAGGAGGAGGGGCTGGAGGGAGTTTCAGTTGTGCAGACGTGGTTGTCTGGCTCACTGCCCCCCAAAATGGACCCAGCTGAGGGGTCCTGTTCTCTGCACCTGCAAGCTCTGTGTTAGACCATGTTCCTGTCGTCTAATAAACCTCTGTTTTACTGGCTGGCCGAGAGTCCCATCTGACTGCGAAGTTGGGGGGCAGGACCCCCTGGCTTCCCCAGGACCCCGCCTGGGTGCACTTGCTGTGGGAAGCGCACGGAGGGGCAGAGGAGGCTGAATGCTCCGAGGTCAGACCCAGGAAGGTGGAAGCCAGGTGAGCTTTGTGTCCTGAAGACAGGCTGCTCACAGGAAGGTGACTGCCCCAGAGTCCTGACTGGCTTCATGGGGAGCAGTTCCAGAGCATCGCCCAGGGACTCCGTGACAGCAGCATCCGGCGCGACGGGGCCCTGATCTTGGCTGGGGTCTGGGCAGCGCCCGGCGCGACGGGGCCCTGATCTCGGCCGGGGTCTGGGCAGCATCCGGCGCGACGGGGCCCTGATCTCGGCCGGGGTCTGGGCAGCGCCCGGCGCGACAGGGCCCTGATCTCGGCCGGGGTCTGGGCAGCGCCCGGCGCGACGGGGCCCTGATCTCGGCCGGGGTCTGGGCAGCGCCCGGCGCGACGGGGCCCTGATCTCGGCCGGGGTCTGGGCAGCGCCCGGCGCGACGGGGCCCTGATCTCGGCCGGGGTCTGGGCAGCGCCCGGCGCGACGGGGCCCTGATCTCGGCCGGGGTCTGGGCAGCGCCCGGCGCGACGGGGCCCTGATCTCGGCCGGGGTCTGGGCAGTGCCTGGCGCGACGGGGCCCTGATCTCGGCCGGGGAGACTAGGTACTAACAACACCACCCACTGCACCTGGCTCCCTTTGCTTCCTGACCCCACAGAGGCAGCAGTGCGGCATCCTCCCATCCTCGGGAGACTCGTGGGGATTCACATCTTGCCTCTCCTCAGGGAGGGGGCCAGTGGCAGGGGGACCCCGGCGCCCTGCCTGCAGGGAGCGCTGGCTGGCTGCGAAAGCATCTGACCTACCTGGGGCCTCTTCCACTCCAGCCCCTGGATATTCTCAGACCCACGTCCGAATTGCCAGTATCCAAGCGAGCTGGGGACGGCGTCGAAGAGCGGGTCGGTGAAGAGACTTTGCCGCCGCAGGCATTGCCTCTTGAGCTCCTGGTACCGCTGCCCCCAGTGTGGGGCGGCCTGGGGGGGCCCCGCGCTGGGGTCGCCGATGAGGCGGACGGTGATCCCCGGGGAAGCCATGCTGGGCCGCACCAGCCCGGCACTGCACCAGGTACTTGTACTGTCATACGGGCGTGTCTGAGTGAAACCCAGTCCTGGGCTGATATTTATCAGCCTTTGTCAACAGTCACCGGGAGGAAGCTGGTTATTGATCTGAGTCCCCGGGCAGGATGGCCGCTGTTGACTCTTTGCGGGGCTGGGGGTTGGTCCCATCCTGCCCGGGGCAGATGGGCTGTCACGAGGCCTCCCGTGTCCTATTTGACTGTTGGTTTGGGTGTTGAGTGGTGGAGGGGAGGGGAGGCTGGACTAGTGGTTAGAGCAGGGGAGGGCAGAAGCGCAGGACTCCGGGGTTCCATTGACACGTCTCTTCTCTGGACTTCACTTTGCCCATCCACCGGCAATGTGCAAAAGGGCCAAAGTGTTCAGAGCCGAGTGCCTAAAGGAAGGCTCTTTGGTCTGTGTCTAGGCGCCACTCACTGCCAGTGCCCACTGTTTTGTGGGAGCTGAGCGCCCCCAAATCACAGGGAAATCAGTCCCACGCCCAACGCAGAGCTGACGATAGAAGTCAGGAGTCCTGGCTCCCAGCCCCCCCCTGCTCTAGCCACTAGACCCCACTCCCCTCTCAGACCCAGGCATAGAACCCAGGAGTCCTGGCCCTCAGCCCCACCCCCTCGAAAGCCCACTGAAGTAAATGAAAACACACACACACACACACGGTCTGTAAATTTTGGCTCAAGATATAAAAGGGTTAATTCCTTATCTGGAACATATCTGATGATGTAGGGGGCTGGGGCAATCTTTGCTGTAGAGCTCATAAAACAAGGCGTTGTCAGGCCCATGTTGCCTACGTGTGTGATCTCAATGGAGGAGGAGTCCCAGCCAGGACCCTTGGCCTGTGCCAGCCCTACCATGCGCTGGAGCAGGCTGGAGTGATGCTGACGCCCGCTAGGTTTGCTTTGCCTGTGCTCACGACACAGCACGAGTGCCTGGGCTCAAGACGGGAGCCAAGTGCAGCCCGGCGGCCTGCATTAGACAGCAGCTGCTGGTCCCTCCCAGCCTCGAGCTCCTCGAATGGAGGAGATAACCGAATTCCCTCACCAGCTACGCGGCCTCGCCGCAGACGCGCACCGGGCTGCTCTGGCAGGCACGGACACGGGAGGCTGGGAGGGGGCTCCCCGCTACGGCGAGGGTTCCGACCCGGTTCCTGGACCCTGCAGGTCTAGAACCGTGGTCCCCGGAGCCGAAACCCTTGGAGCGATTGGTTCCATTTTGCTTTGTTCTGGGTAGTTTCCCCACGGGGGGTGCCCAGGAGTCCTGGCTGACCCCCACGTGCTCAGATATCGCAATCCAGCACCTAGCAACCAAGCGATCAATGGTCTCAAGTTGCAGCGGGGGAGGTCTAGGTTGGATATTAGGAAACACTATTTCACTAGGAGGGTGGTGAAGCACTGGAATGGGTTCCCTAGGGAGGTGGTGGAATCTCCTTCCTTAGAGGTTTTTAAGGCCCGGCTTGACAAAGCCCTGGCTGGGATGATTTAGTTGGGGTTGGTCCTGCTTTGAGCAGGGGGTTGGACTAGACACTTCTTGAGGTCCCTTCCAACCCTGATAGTCTATGATTCTAAGCCTTAGCTCTGGAAGTTGCTGGTTCAGTTCCAGGGGGGCAACTCAGATAGTGGCTGTTTATAGTGGCTATTGGCCTCGTGGAGGAGGGACTGTTGAAAGCCCTTGTTCAAGTGCTGCTCTCCACCTGTGGGTAGAACTGGGCTAGTTTCCTGACCCCTGCGATTCCTGCAGTGTTTTAACACAGCTGCATGTCAATACATCTAGGAACAAAAAATGCGGGCCATGCGTACGGGATGCGGGGACGGGGGGCGGCTATTGTGGGAAGCAGGGATTCTGACAGAGATTTGGTGGACAATCAGCCAAACATGAGCTCCCGGTGTGACACCGGGGCCATAAGGGCTAATGCCACCCTGAGATGATGCATCAACAGGGGAATCTCGAGTAAGAACAGAGAGGTTTTTTTCCCTCTGTATTTGGCCCTGGTGTGACCACTCCTGGGATCTTGCGTCCAGTCCTGGTGCCCACAACACAAGAAAGATGTTGACGAATTGGAGAGGGGTCAGAGAAGAGCCAAGAGAACGATGAAAGGATGAGAAAACCTGCCTTGGAGTGATAAATGGATTGAGCTCCTTGAGTCTAAGTTAACCAAGAGAAGGGTAAGGGTAACTTGATCACAGTCTATAAGTACCTACATGGGGAACAAATATTCAGTGATAGGCTCTACAATCTAGCAGAGGGAGGTCGAACATGAAGTTGTAGCGAGACAAACTCAGACCGGAAATAAGGTGGGAACTTTTTACGGTGAGAGTCATTAACCATTGGAACAATTGACCAAGGGTCATGGTGGATTCTCCATCACTGACCATTTTGAAATCAAAATTGGCTGTTTTACTACAAGATCTGCTCTGGGAATTATTTCAGGGCAGTTCTCTGGCTTGTGTTATACCTAGGTCAGACTAGATCACAGTGGTCCCTCCTGGCCGTGCAACCCATGACTCCTTATAGAGACCATTTGCTCCAGCTTTTGCTGAGACAACCAGTTTCAGATATTTAAAAATTAGACCTGGCTGGAATTTTTTTTTCACTCCTGTGGAAAATTTTGCCTTTTTGTCTGAAAGCTTTCAGGTTTAGGGTAGAAAATGACGTATAAAAAGGTTTTCCCCAAAAGAAAATTAATTTGTGCGTTGACCAAACGAAAATTTTCAGAACAAGCATCTGTTTTTGCGAAAAGCAGAATTCTTCTTCCCTTGATTGCATCCTCTGAGCTCGGGTCGCTGTGCGAGCATCCAACCACCTTCATCGCTCCAAGGTGGAACTAAGATCCATCTTCGTTAATGCAATCTAGCTACTGCTTCCTTTCCATTCGTCTCACGACACGTTGGTCGACTCACAACTGCGCTCAACCATGTGCATCGTAACTGGGACGATTCACCCCACACCAGCACCACTGCTCCCCGTGTTAAGAAAATCACTCCTTTACACATCCTTCGTGAGGATGCTCCAGGCAGAATGGCTGAGAAGATCAGGACAAACCCAAGCCTACCCCTGTAGACAGTTCTCTTTGACAAACACGCTCTTGAGTTGTCATCAGGGCGCCTGCTGTGAGCCCATTTGTCCAGCCCAGATTTCTTGTGGCACCAAGAATGGTCTACAGCTGACGCCAGAAACCAGACTCGTAACTGACCCGGCAACGTGTGTACCAGGCTTTGATTTGCCACGCCACCCCCAGTTCCTTGTGAACGGATTTCGAGTGGGCCAGTGTCAATGCAGAGCCTGCTTTCACACCTGGGGCCTGTTAAAGGATCCCACATGCGGCTGCGGCCAAAGACAGACAACGTCGTGCATCACTGACGACTGCCCTCGGAGCAGATTTGACATGGTCTGTGGGGTCTGTACCTCCCTGATGAGGCTGCTGCAATAAGAAAGCAACTGCTTCCGTGGCTTTCCTCGGTGTCTCTTTCCTACCACTGTCTCCTGCCATGAGGTCTTCACCAGGTTCTCCTTGCTCCTCCTCCATAGGCATCGGAACCAGCAAAGTCGCGCTTCCTGGATTTTGTCAGCCACTTCCCGGACTCTGCCTTCCATCCGAGTTTTATGGCACAAGGCGGTTCAGAGAGAAGCAGATTTGTCCCACGAAGATCCTTGGTCAAAAACTCAACCGTCAGAGGTGGGAAGGGGGGAGACTTAATGGAAAATGTACAACCAGGCCCAGTAAAAATAAATTGCTCGGGTGTCTCCGTACACCCCCTCTGACAGCTCGCCACCCACCCCATCTGCTCCAAACAACGTCCGCTGAGCTCTGTGCGATGGTCCTGGAGTGCCAGGGAGCTTTCAGTGCCTGCGATTAGACGTTGCTAGCCAGGTGCGAGCAGGTTCCTTTGCTTAGTAGGAAGTGACTGCGTTGTTAATAGGGGATGGTTTGACCACCCTGTAGCTCTGTGTGGGAAGCAGCGTGGCTCAGTGAGTAGACCACTGGAGTGGGACTCAGGGGAGGTAGGTTCGGTCACTGGCCTGCTAACAGAGTGTGAGTCACTGAACTCACTCTGAACCTCAGTTTCCCCACCTGTGAAATGGGGACAACATTACCGACCTCGTTCGTAAAGTACTTGGAGATCGACTGATGGAAGGCACTATAGATGAGTGAGGCGTTATTGTTGGATGCCTCTTGTCTGCATGGGATTTACTGCCAGGTTTAATTAGGCTTTAGTTTTTCCTTATTATTTGTATTAGGGTAGCACCCTATTGTGCTAGATGCTGTACAAATGTAGGACAGCAAGACAGTCTCTGGCCCAGAGAGCTGAAGGATGGCTACTTTTAAATCTGTTATTGAATGTCCAGGGAGATTGAAGTGTTCTCCTGCTGGCTTTTGTATGGTACCGGGGGTTGGACTAGATGACCTCCTGAGGTGCCTTCCAACCCTGATATCCTATGATTCCTGATGTCTGATTTGTGTTCACTTATTCTTTTATGTAGAGATTGTCTGTCTGGTTTGGTCAATGTACCCGGCAGAGGGGCGTTGCTGGCACATGATGGCATCTATCACATTAAAAGTAGCCATCCTTTAACAAAAAAAACTTCAAAAACAGACTCCAAAGAGAGATTGCAGAGCTACAACTCATTTGCAAACTTAACACCATTAATTTTGGTCTTGAATAGGGACTGGGAGTGGCCGGCTCACTACAAAAGCCATTTTCCCTCTCTTGGTATGGACACCTCCTCATCAACGATTGGGAGTGGGACCACATCCATCCTGATTGAATTGGCCTCGTCAGCGCTGGTTCTCCACTTGTGAGGTGACGCCCTTCTCTTCCTGTGCCAGTATATTGATGCCTATATCTGTAACTTTCACTCCATGCATCTGAAGAAGTGGGGTTTTTACCCACGAGAGCTTCTGCCCAAATAAATCGGTTAGTCTTTAAGGTGCCACCGGACTCCTCGTTGTTTTTGTGGATACAGACGGACACGGCGACCCCCTGATCATTATCATGAGACTCGTGGCAAAATCATGAGAGTTGTCCACAGGCCCCTTGAATTCTGCACAAGGCGTGTCCCCAGTGGGGCTCGGGGGCAGGGGGCGGGAGGGGAGAGTAACTGATCCCCTGCACGGTCACACTGGTGCTGGTGAATTTGGGTGAACTTTCCTGAGCATCCTGTGACTGGCTGCACCTGGTCCCTCCTTTTGCTTCTGGCAGCAGATGCTTCAGTCCCCCGCTTGGTGGCACCACAGGCTGCCTGTCCAGCCCACAGTCCTGCCTTCAGTACAAACCCTGTTGGTACGCCTCCCCGCCCCCCGCAATATTTGTTCTCAAGTTCCCCCCACAGCCCCTCTGTTAATTTATGTTAATATATTCCGCTGTCTGCCGTGTGTCATCTGGCAACTCCTTTACCCTTAGGCAGCCTCCCAGCCCCTCCTCAGATGTTCTGCAGGATCTTCTGCAAGTTCACTGAAAGATTTTTTCCTCCTTTAGGGAAAAAAAAAAAAAAATTGCACGGGCCAGAGAAGGAATTTTTCTCTGCATAGCGCCATTAGCAGCTCCGACCCTGCTGAGATTGCTCCTAGCGCCAGCTTTCTCCGTGCCGCTCAACTTTGTTTTTTGAAGGGGGGAAAGGGGAGCGCAAGTTCCTTCCCAAACGGCACCAGAAGAACCCACCCCCGTGCCAAGCCTATGCTCCTGGTTTAGGAGTGATTATACTTGGGTTTCTTTAAATCGAGCAGCATACGCAACACTGTGCCTTTAAATTTCATCTGATTACCAAATCCAGGTCTGGAGATCACCCAAGAGATCCACCCGTCTCCCCACGAAAAAGATCTATCCATTTGGATCTACTGATCAGAGATCTGCTGATTCCCAAGCGGTCGATTGGTTTCAGATCTGCCAGTCTCCCATTTTCAAGATCTTTCCATTTGATCTCCCAGAGATCTATCCATTTAAAGATCTATCAACTTTACATCTGCTGATCTCCAAAAGACCGTGGCTCTTCCTGGTTCTCGACGGGGTTTTCAGCTTGGATTAATTGATCTCTATATCGGATCAGTTGAAGTATTGACTCTCGGATCTATTGATCTCGGAAAGATCTATCAACTCCAAACTGTTGATCTCAGAAAGATCTATTGATTAGGATCTATCGATCTCCCATTGCCCTGTTTCTCCCCAGGTGTGTACGGCAGGACTAGGAGAAGATGTTCAGCTGGATGAGGAAGAACGAGAAGAAGACTCCTGAGGTGATCCACACGGTCACCGAGGGGCTGAAGAACCTCTACAAGAAGAAGCTGCTGCCCGTGGAGGAATTCTACCGCTTCCATGACTTCCACTCGCCGGCCCTGGAGGACGCCGACTTTGATAACAAGCCCATGGTGTTGGTGGTGGGGCAATACTCCACGGGGAAGACCACCTTCATCAAGTACTTGCTGGAGCAGGACATCCCGGGCAGCCGCATTGGGCCCGAGCCCACCACCGACTCCTTCATCGCGGTCATGCATGGCGAGACCGAGGGGATCATCCCAGGCAACGCCCTCATCGTTGACCCCAAGAAACCCTTCCGCAAGCTCAACCCCTTCGGGAACACTTTCCTCAACCGGTGAGTGCTGGCCCCCCGCTCGTGGGCCCCCTGCTGCCAGCGTCCCCATGAACTCGACCCCCGTCCCCACACATGCACAAAACCCCATCGCTCGTGTGATGGCCAGCACAACTGGGCCTACTGGGCAGCCCTTGAGTGAGCTTCCCTCTACAGCCACTTATCTCGGCCCAGGCTAGCCCACCACACAACGATCGAGGGCTGCTGGTCCTCCAATGCCTTTCCTCAATGCTCCCGGCCACCGCTAACTCAGGCCAGCACTGCCCATCCAGGGCTGCTGCTAGTCCTCCAATGCCTTCCCACAATGCTCCCCAGCCACCGCTAACTCGGCCCAGGCTAGCCCGCCACACAACGATCGAGGGCTGCTGGTCCTCCAATGCTTTCCCACAATGCTCCCCGGCCACCACTAACTCAGGCCAGCACTGCCCATCCAGGGCTGCTGCTAGTCCTCCAATGCTTTCCCACAATGCTCCCCGGCCACCGCTAACTCGGCCCAGGCTAACCTGCCACACAACGATCGAGGACTGCTGGTCTTCCAATGCCTTCCCACAATGCTCCCCGGCCACCGCTAACTTGGCCCAGGCTAGCACTGCCTGTCAAGGACTCCTGGTCCTCCAATGCCTTCCCACAATGCTCCCCAGCCACTGCTAACTCGGCCCAGGCTAGCACTGCCTGTCAAGGACTGCTGGTCCTCCAATGCCTTCCCACAATGCTCCCCGGCCACCGCAACTCGGCCCAGGCTAGCCCGCCACACAACGATCGAGGGCTGCTGGTCCTCCAATGCTCCCACAATGCTCCCCGGCCACCACTAACTCAGGCCAGCACTGCCCATCCAGGGCTGCTGCTAGTCCTCCAATGCCTTCCCACAATGCTCCCCGGCCACTGCTAACTCGGCCCAGGCTAGCACTGCCTGTCAAGGACTGCTGGTCCTCCAATGCCTTCCCACAATGCTCCCCGGCCACCGCTAACTTGGCCCAGGCTAGCACTGCCCGTCAAGGAGTCCTGGTCCTCCAGTATCTTCCCACAATGCTCCCCGGCCACCGCTAACTCGGCCCAGGCTAGCCTGCCACACAACGATCAAGGGCTGCTGGTCCTCCAGTGCCTTCCCCCAATGCTCCCCGGCCACCGCTAGCTCACTGTGGTGCAACAGAGGGCTGCTTATTCTCCAGTGCCTTCCTGCAGGGACTCTGTGCCACGGCCTTTCCTTGCCATCTACAAGTGCCTCCTCTTCCTCGTCTTCAGCCCACACCCGTGCCAGCCCAGGCTGAACTGGCCTGGGTCCTGCGGCTGTTTAATCGGCATGCTCCAGGGCGTGAGCAGACCAGCTCCATGGAGGGGTCAGGAATTTCCCCCATGGGGTAAGATGCCACAGCTGGCTACCTCACGGTCCTCAGGAGTGTCTGGCTTGACCCACTCTCTCGTGGACAGGAGACCTGGCTTGATGGGCCTTTGATCTGGTCTGATGTGCCCATTCCCAGCTCCTTTTAGAGTCTCCTCCTCTCACTTGAGCTTAAGCAATGGGACGTGACATAGGAATGGCCAGCAGGTCCATCTAGCCCAGAGAGCTATGGGGTAATCTGGCCACTAGGGGATGCTTTCCCCAATCCCCAAGACTTCAGCTCATGCCCTGAAGCTTGGGGACTTATATCCCTTATTAAACCAAAAACCCAATCTGTCTAATAAATGTTCTCTTTATCCCCAGCCCTTGCTTGAGTCCCTGACCACATGGCCTCAGAGCTTGTAGCAGGGAGTTCCACGGGCTAATGCCAGGCTGCATTTCCTTTCATCGGTTTAAACAGCTGCCATTCAGAGTCAATGGGCGCCCCCTGGCCCTTGGGACAAGCGGGGGCAGCCCGTTCCCCTTCTCTAGCCCCTCCCATGCCCAGCTCCTGCCCCTCGCCTCTCCCAGCCCCGATCTATCCAGCCTCGCCCCCGGGCGGAGTCCTGGATCATTTCTACAGCCTGTCTCCACACTGGGGCTCTGCCCCTCCTGTGTGTGTGTGCATCTGTGTGCAACCCAGGGGGTGTGTGTGTGCATACATCCCTGCGCGCGTGTGTACGCGTCTGGGCGCAACTCAGAGTGAGTCCATGTGCGTGCATTGGGGTGTGTGTGTACACCCAACATGGGGAGGGGCAGGGCACTGCGGGGGTGGTTCAGATCCAAGCCCTCCTTTCTTAGCTTCATCCACGCCCGTTAACCTGGGGGCCATTTCCTGCCCTGGTGCTGGGGGAGCGGGCCTGTGGGTGTCAGTGATGGAATTTGTGGCTAAGCCCCCGGTCCTGCTTTGTAAACCTCTCCCATCGAGCCTGTCACGAGTCTCAGAGTATCCCGTGGGGCTGCTCCCCTGACCCGCACTGAACTGCAGCTGCCTCTGGGGTGGAACACGGCAGCGCTTCAGTGGCAGCATGCAGCAAGTCAGGATGATAGCAAGGCCGCATGAGCTTGTTGTCAGGGCTCCTGGGTTCTTTCCCTGACTCTGCAGAGCCCTGCACATGTCATTTCTCCTCTTCGGGTCTTGCGTCCTACAGAGCCGGGAACAGGCCCCAGGAGTCCTGGCTCCCAGTCCCTCCCTGCACCAGCCACTCAGACGCCCCACACCTTTGCAGAGCTAGGAATAGAACCCAGGAGTCCAAACTCCGATGTCTAACAGCTAGACCCTACTACTTTCCCAGAGCCAGGGATCGGCCCCAGGAGTCCTGGCTCCTAACCCTCCCTGCTCTAACCACTAGACTCCACTCCTTCTCTGAAAAGTGGAGATCCCTTGCCCCATCTGGCACAGCCCTGCCTTGGCTTCCCGCCCTCACCTTGCTCCACCATTGCAAACAGCTGTTCAACCCTGCATGTCCCTGCCCAGCCCCTTGGGAGAAGCCTGGGATGTTGGGTTTGGCAGGGGAGGGGCTACACCTGGGGGACCGTGGGGCTGCAGATGTAGGGAGGGAGGTTTAAACAGCAGCAGCCCCCTGTGATGTGCATCCAGCCTGGCCTTGTCTCGTGCAGTGCAGAGGACACCTGTTCCCACCCAGCCCCGGTCTGTGGTGGGGGGGCCAGGCTGGGGGCTGGGGCTGAGCCAGGCTCTCAGGAATGCAGGGCCTGTGGCCCAGTCCCCTCCCCAGCCCGGGCTGCCTGGAAAGAAGGCGTCATGGCTCCAGATGCGCTGGCGGCAGGAAGCCATGGGAGGACAGGCCCCTTCTCACGAGATGGCTGGCAGGAGGCGCCTGGGGCAGGCAAGCTCAGCTCGGGGCTGAGCTGAGGGGTGCAGGCGGGGAAGATGGAGTGAGGGGGGCCTCGAGGAAAGGCTGGGGCCCAGGAGATAGGGGTTCAGTATCTGGCTCTGTCACAGACTCACTGGAAATCGCATTGTGCCTCGGTTTCCCCTGTCTGTAACATAGGGATAATATGTCTATGGGGGACTGGCTCTCACTCTTTGTCTGGGCAGCGCCTGGCGCGACAGGGCCCCAATCTCGGTCGGGGTCTGGGCAGCACCTGGCACAATGCGGCCCCGATCTTGGTTGGGGTCTGGGCAGCGCCTGGCGCGACGGGGCCCTGATCTCGGTCGGGGTCTGGGCAGTGCCTGGCGCGACAGGGCCCCGATCTCGGTAAAACAAAATGAATTTTAACTCTGGAAACACTCTCCTTTCTAGACAAACAGGCCAGGACGCCTAGGTTCTTTTCATGGACGGTGGCGGGTTTCCCAGGGAAACGGGCCCTGGAGCCCAACCTAAAGCCCACTGAGGTCAGTGCAACGGCTCCCGATAGCCCCCTGGCTGGAGCAGGCCCCGGGAGACCATCTGGCCTGTAGCTCCAGCCCCTGCTTGGAAGCAGCCACAGCCGAGCTGGGAGCCCCCCGCTACCTTCGCTGCCCGGCTCAGCTGGGCCTGGGCAGGGCTATTTTTAGCGTCGTGTTTATATCGGACCAGCCCGACTTCCTCCAGCATGGAGGAGTTTGTAAACACGGGCTCCTCCCCATGAGCCCCCCACTCGCATGCCACGGCCCGGCTTCCTGCTGATGCTGGGCTGCTTTCCTGCAGGCTCCCCCGCCCCCCCAACCCGGGCCAGGGAGCGTGGGGCAGCATCCCCCCATCCTCTGCACCGGCCCTGGCTCGCTCTCCTCTTCCCAGATCCCCCAGCCTGCGTCCGGGCTACTCCTGCGTCTTGCTCCATCCTTCATTCCTTCTTCCCCTTCCTTTCCGCCCAGCCCCGCCCAGCCTTTACCCTGGGCCCTGCCACTGTGGCCTGTCTCTCTGCCCTTGGCCCGCAGTCAGCTGTCCAGCCTCCGTCCACGTGTCCGGTGCCGCTGTGCCCCCGGGAAGGCAGAGTGAGGGAAAAGGCGTTTTCCCGCATGAGCTGATGCACCGGGCGCTCTGCGGTTGGGGGAGGCGCAGAAGAAGGGCGGCCCCAGGCTACGTAGGAGGCTGGCACAGAGGCCAGGGGGTGTCTGCTTGCACCCTGGGACTGGAGGGGGCCGGATCCCCAGGCCCGATGCAGCTTCACGGTGCCACCATCCTCTCCAACCAGCTCAGGGCTCCCCTGAGGCTGCTCTACTGTGTGTGGTGGGGTGACCTGGCTCCCCAGCACCGCCAGGGCCCCAGGGTCAGGGGAAAGCAGGGACTCCCCAAGGCTCAGGGTTCTGTGATTCCCCCTCCCAGCACCTGGAGTGGGAAAAGTGGCTTTAAACCCTCTGAATCCTGGGAGCTGTCTGACCCTGAGTGCAAATTACAGCAGCCTCAGGGCTGCTCTAACTCATCGGTGGGACCTGAGGGGCAGAGAATAGCCACAGCGCAGTGCTCTCCAGCCAGGCCCCCTTTCTCCCCCCTTTTCCCTTTGGGGGGGGGCGGGGAACCCCCCCAGAGCAGCGCCCCGCCCCCCCCCCCCCCCCCCTCCTCCCGAGGGAGGAGGGGGCGGGGGGGGGGTGGTGAGCTCTCTTTAAACTGTAACTGTTTTCCACCTGCTTTCTCAGCAGTAGAGATCAAAGGACATGGGATAAACCTGCCAACATCCAAACACAGTAGCCCCTGGAGTCTCCAATTACACCAGGTGCTGCCCAGACCCCAACCGAGATCAAGGCCCCGTTGGGCCAGGCACTGCCCAGACCCAGACCAAGATCAGGGGCCCCTGTTGGGCCAGGGACTGTCCAGAGAGAGTGAGACTGTCCCTGCCTGGAAGAGCTCCCACTTTAACTCGGCATGGGCAGGGTGGGGAGACAGGCACCAGCGGGGAAGAGACTTCCCCCAAGTCCCAAAGCAGTTCAGTGACAGAGCCATGCCGTGAACCCAGGAGTCCTGACTCCCAGCCACCTGTGATCTGACCACTAGACCCCGCTCCCCTCCCTGCACCAGGATAGGACCCAGGAGTCCTGGCTCCTCGTGCGGAGCCCTAGCTGCTAGGCCGAGCTGCCCCACTCCTGTCCCACATGCTGCCATTGCTCATCGCTGCTTCCCTCTCCTGACAGGTTCATGTGTGCCCAGCTGCCCAACCAAGTCCTGGAGAGTATCAGCCTCATCGACACCCCGGGGATCCTGTCGGGAGCCAAGCAGCGCGTGTGCCGGGGTAAGGCCTGGGGCGGGGGGTAGAAGGGGACAGGGATGGGGCGAAACTGCACTGGCTCAGTGCTATGTGGCTGGAGCAAGGGGCGGGGGCTTCATCTTGCCACATCTGTAACCCCGGCTCCCCCCCCCCGTGGGGATTCGGTCAGGGGCACGTTGATTGCCAGGGTGGGTGGAAGGGCTGCGGAGCCCAGCAGGTCAAGCCAGGACTCCTGGGTTCTGTCCCCAGCTCTGGGAGGGGAGCGGGGGCTAGTGGTTAGAGCAGGGGGGCTGGGAGCCAGGACGCCTTTGTTCTCTCCCTGGCTCTGGGAGGGGAGTGGGGTCTAGTGGAGTAGAGGGGTGGGGGACTCCCTTCAGACGGGTGTGTGTCTCCATGCACCCCGGGCACCAGGACACCCTCGCTGCAGAACGCCGCCTTTCCCAGCCCCGCCCTGTCGAGCGCACACTTGGCTGGGAGGCCTGTTGCTGCAGGAGCCAGGCCTGGGCCAGGGGCATTTTTTCACCGTGAGTCATCGTCGCGGGATGAAACCACCCGTTGTTGTCGTAATTCGCTTGAACAAACTGTTTGTGCATGTCGGTGTGTGTACGCGCCCCGCGTGGCAATGCGTGTGCCCTGGCTGTGTGCAGGCCCAGGGCTCGGGGAGGGGCCCTTGGGCACTTGCAGGCTGGTGCGTGTGCGTGTGTTCACGGGCGCCCACGTTTGCAGCTGTGCCTGCAGGGCGGGGCATGTGTGTGCCCGCTTGGCAGGCCGTGCGTGCGAGTGGTTGCCTTGTGGGTGCCATGCACCAGGGCTGAGCAGGGCCCCTCGCTGCCCACGAGTGGGTGTGACTGGGCTGGTGGCTCCCAGATTGACGTGGCCCAGCTCCCCCCCAGGTTGGGGGATGACAGTGGTGGGAGGCGAGAGGCCAAGCCCCAGTGGGGCTCCTCCCATGTGGGATCCTGGCCTGGGACAAACGTGGGTATTGCCACACTGGCTTTGGAGGTGGGGCTGGGGCTAGGACTCCTGGGTTCCCAAAGGGGAGCGGGGGGGGGGGCATGGAGCCATCAGACAAATAAATCTCAGGCTTCGTCTCTGCTCTGTTCTTGGCCCTGCCATGCGAGCGGCCGGGTATGTTCCTGGCACGGGGCTGGCATTGCCCCTCGGTTCCCTGCCCCCAGGCTCCAGCCGGCCGGGAAATACTGACTCAGTCCCAGAGCCCGACTTCATGGGACACGATGCAGCAGGGCTGATTCCAAACAGGGAGCAGCTTGGGGGGCGGGGGGAATGGGGGGGCTGCATTATCCGAGCCCCCAGCGCCTCCAAAGGGCCAGGGCTGCCGATGCTGCTGGGCGAGCGCCATAGACAGGTGGCCCAGGGGTGGATGGAGCAAGGGCTCTGAGTTACTCAGACACCTGCTCCCCGAGCTCCGCCAGGACCCCAAACACCCAGCCTTGGGCTCCCCTGCCCCCCACAGCTCTGACAGTGCCCATCACTCTCAACCCACAGCCCCTGCTAGCCCAGCCCTGGGCTCCCCGAGCTCTGCCGGGGCCCCTCACGCCCGACCTGCAGCCCCTGCTGTCCAGCTCTGGCTGTCTCTCTCTGCCCCAGCCAGACACAGAGCGAGAGCCAGTCACGGCCCCACGGCGCTGCCGGCTCAGCAGACCAGGCCAGCAAAGGGGAGAGGGGAAACGTAACCCACAAGCAGGGACGTTTTCTTTCTCGCTCTCGTTCCTGTACCCCTCCCTCCCCCCTGCTGGTTATAAAATCATTCCTGGAAGGAAACGATTAGCCACCGCGGGAACAAATCCGTTACAAAGGAGGGTATTGAGTGAGAATGAAATGTATCAGGGCCGGAATCCGGTGCAATAAGTAGCCTCAAGGCACGCAACTCGTTAGTGAGCCTCATCAGTGGAGCGGGAGGCATCCTGCAGAGTACCGCCTTTGGGGAGCTGGGGGGTGATGCTGTGTGAGGAGGGATTGGTCCTCAGATCAATGGGGGCTGAGATGCAGGCAGCCACCTCTGGGGTGGAACGCGAGGGCTGTTTATACGGGGACCACTCGCCTAGTGCCGAGATGCAGCCACCTCTGGGGTGAGGTGCGAGGCCCTGTTTATGATTCAGCAATGCCAGCCAGCCGTTCGGGGCAGGAAGTGAGGGAGAATCCTGTCCAAACGAAGCTGGACGTGCAAACTGAAGGAGGCCGATGACATCGCTCTGCCATGGGATCCGGCTGGGCCTCGGAGCATAACCTCCCAGCCAGGGCCGTGACTCTGTTTGGGCTGGATCCCCGTCAGCTGAGCAGGGGCTGGCTGTTCCCGCACTGGGATGCCTGCCAGGGAGCATGAGGCACGGAGGAGTCAGCCCCGCGTGCCAACAAAGGGATGTCCAGGCCTCTGGCCCTGCTGGGCAGGGAGCAGCTGCGGGGGGAAGGCCCTGGGAAAACCAACAGAGACACTGGATAACCTGCCGCCACACAGCAACCCACACCGGGTGTGCGGGGCCATCAGCTCCCAGGGAAGCTGAGGGGCAGTGGCTTCCCAAGGGCAGCTGGGGAGAGAACCCAGGCGTCCTGGTTCCCAGCCCCCCACCCCCGCCCCGCTCTAACCACCAACCCCGCTCCCCTCCCAGAGCTGGGGATAGAACCCAGGAGTCCTGGCTCCCAGTCCCGGTTTTGGACCATAGGACCAGGCTTTGATGGCTATTCTAAACCAGAGTGCAATGCTGGTGTGTAGCAGCTGCTGCATGCCACCCCCGAGGTGGCTGCGTTTCAGTCCTGGCTGAGGGGCTCTCTGTATAAACAGCTGCCAGGGCCCATCACAGAGGTGGCTGCATCTCAGTGCCGGGTGTGGGATCCCTGTACAAACAGGCCCCCGCCCCGCACCCCAGAGACGGCTGCATCTCAGCGTCAGGGACCAGGCACCCGTTACAAGACGGTTTATCACAGCACCGTGAGGCTCCTGGCAGCCCAATTTCAGAGGCACTGAGCACCTGCCCTCCCAGTGACCCCTGGCCCCTGCGGGAATGTGCCCTTCCTGTCCTAAGCTGGGGGGTCCCCGGCCTGGATGTACCCTGGCTGGAGGAATGTAGTGGGGGGCGGGGACGTGCTTTCCCACTGACGTGTCCGAATTCCTCGTTGGGATTCCTCCCCTTTGAATTCCTCGCTGGCGAGCTGCCAGGGGCTCCCGGGGCCCATGTGGGGAGGGGGCTGCATTCCAGGAGGGGTTCACCCAGCTGCTAGAACACAAGAGGCCCCCCCGGGGGGCTCCCTGGCCCAGCTGCCCACCTGGCACCCTTTGGAGCTGGAGGGAGCGCCATGCAGGCGGCGCCCGGAGGCATGCAGGGAATCCAGCCCGACCCAGGGGCATGGCGGCTCAGTAAACACCCCGATGAGTCCAGGGCGCCCTCGGCTGCTCGCAGCTGTCCCGTGTTCAGCTCACTCCTGTGTGCAAACAGCCCGCTGGGACAGGCCCAGCTGTGCATCCCAAACAAAACCGATCTCTCTCTAGCAGGCAGGCTGCAGTGTTATCGTAGGGTCGCTCGGAGATGGCACGGGCTGGTTCGTTATCGTAGGGTCGCTCGGAGACGGCACGGGCTGGTTCGTTATCGTAGGGTCGCTCGGAGATGGCACGGGCTGGTCACACTGGTTCGTTATCGTAGGGTCGCTCGGAGGCGGCACGGGCTGGTTCGTTATCGTAGGGTCGCTCGGAGACGGCACGGGCTGGTTCGTTATCGTAGGGCTGCTCGGAGATTGCACGGGCTGGTTCGTTAGGGCCGCTCGGAGATTGCACGGGCTGGTTCGTTAGGGCCGCTCGGAGATTGCACGGGCTGGTTCGTTAGGGTCGCTCGGAGATGGCACGGGCTGGTTCGTTATCTTAGGGTCGCTCGGAGATGGCACGGGCTGGTCACACTGGTTCGTTATCGTAGGGTCGCTCGGAGGCGGCACAGGCTGGTTCGTTATCGTAGGGTCGCTCGGAGACGGCACGGGCTGGTTCGTTATCGTAGGGCCGCTCGGAGACGGCACGGGCTGGTCACGCTGGTTTGTTATCGTAGGGTCACTTGTGAATCCTGCACCACTACATTGGTCTGTTATTGTAGGGTTGCTCGTGCAGCCATGCGTCCCCACAAGCGGGCGTTGCAGCGGCCCTGGGACTGAACCCAGGAAGTGCCCGACGGGGCAGTTCGGTTCAGGCCAGGTCCCTGGTGTGCTGTTTCTGGGAACAGGGTGGGATCTGAAATCCCCCAGCAACCAGCAGGGCCAGGAGAAACAGAGGAAGAAGCTGTTAAAATAAAGCAGGTGATAAGCCAGGGCAGGGAGGTTTCCGTGGGCAGGATCAGCTGAGCCCCATAGCAACGGGATGGGTCACAACACGCTGAGAAATCATGCCCGTCCTGCCAGTGGGGCTGTGACAGCAGAGGGGAGAGCGGCGGGGTCAGGGCATACGTCCTGAGGGCGTGATCGTGGGGGAGACGGGGGACAGCGCACGTGAATGGGAGCAGCACAGCCCGCTTTGACATGGGGGCACCGGGAGCATTGCTAGTGAAAAGCTATGGCCAAGTCGACCCCTGTGAGGCCAATCAGTGCGGTTCTCTCCTTGCTTCACAGTTGGGGAAACTGAGGCACAAAGAGGTGGCAGAGACTTGCTGAAGGCCATTCAGTGAATCACTGAACCCAGGAGTCCTAGCTCCCCTCCCCCCACTCTAACCACTAAATTCCACTCCCCTCCCAGAACCGGGGACAGGATTCCTGGCTCCCAGCTGCCCCTCCCTGCTCTATCCACTAGACCCCAGTTGCAGATAGCTAGCGGCGGTTTTTCGGGGGAAAGGAGGAGGTCCCCTGAGGCAATGGAAGCCCAGAGCCCCGTCCCCTGGTGAACCCCATCACCGAGACACAGCAACTGCCCAGGTGGGCTGCCCGAGGACTGAGCCAAATGGGCCAGAGCGCAGAGGAAATTCCCGCCGTGAGCTGGCACCATCTGGCTCTCAGGGTGTTTCCCACGAGGTGAGTTATAGCCCTGCTCCCAGGGCCAGCTTCCCAGCCAGACCTGAGCTGCATGGCAGCTGTTTACACAGAGATCCTTCACCCAGTGCTGAGATGCAGCCACCTCTGGGGTGGGGTGCGGGGCCTGTTCAGACAGTGCACCATAACCCACCACACAGTGCTCCAGGCCTGCAAGCGAAGGCGAACCCTGTAGCTTGTGACATTAGGTGCAGGGCACCGTGAGATCCAATACACCTTGGCAAGCTGGTGTGGGGGAAAGGCCAGCGCGGCTGTCGGGTGGGCACAGGGTCTGGTCCAGCTGCCGTTCCTGCCCCTCGGGCCCCCCTCCCTCTCTAGAGAATCCCCTGAATCCCATCTGGGCTGGACACACAGCTCAGCCGCGGCTCTCCAGCCGGCCCCAGCCTCCCCTTCCCCATCCCAGCTCAGCGGGGGAAGCAGCCCGTCGCCGGGAGCCCCGGTCCTCCTCTGGATCGGCTCCATTTTCCAGGGAGGGCCGGGCGCCAGACCTGGAAACTCACTGGCTCCTTCCCTGCTTGTGTAAACAGCGGGGGACGGAGGAGTTCGCAGGACCCGATTCTCCCCCCACCCCTTCACTGCAGCCAACAGGGCCAACGCCTGCTCCCCGCCACCCCAGAGAAGCCGGGGGCCAGAGGAGCGGGGAGAACGTCTGGCTGGCTGCAGCAGGCCAGAGCCCCTCGCCCGGGCAGGGGGCTGGGTCGCTGGAAAGCCCCGTGCCCTGGTTTCGCTGATTCCCCCTGGCACGGGAGGCCACCCCAACCTTTCCCAGGACCCCCCGGCCAGCGGAGAGACGCCCGGAGGGGGTTTGCAGCAGCCCCGTCCGGTCCAGCTGGGTTTTTGATTCACGGTGGGGCCCCGGCTGGCTCAGACTTTCCTCTGCTCAGCCTCAAGGCTTCCTTTTTTGGTGCTTTGGAGACACTGGCCGCCTTGGGCTGCCAAGTGGGAGGGCCGGGGGGGGGGGGGGGAGGAGAATCTGCTGGGCTCCAGCAGCAATCCTCAGCGAGGCTGTTAGGTTTGCTGGGGGGGGGATGTAATGAGACGTCTCTTCTCTCAGCCCCTGAGCCCCCCCCAAATACAGGGGACCCCGATCTGGGTTGGGGTCTGGGCAACGCCCGGCGCGACGGGGCCCTGATCTCAATGGGAGGCAGTGGGGGGTGAGGGAGGCAGGGTTGGGGGTACACTAGGGGAGGAGCAGAGGGTGGGGGAGGGGGTCTGTTGGGGGGAAGCAGGGGCCCCTTTCCCTCTCTCAACCCATGAGCTAGTCCTCTGGGCCCGGCGCCAGCGGAAGGCGTCAAGGAACTTGCTGCCTAGGGACCCCAAAGCTGGCAGCGAGGTCCACGGGTACCCAGTACACTCTGCAGGGTACGCCCCATGCCCTGGCAGGGCAGTTGTGGGGCACAGGGGCTGGGGACTGGAGGGGCAGGGCTGTGCTGGGCATGGGGTGCAGAGGCTGCAGAGTGGGGGATACGGGGGTGTGGGGCACAGGGGCTGGGGAGTGGGGAGCAGGGCGGGCATGAGGCAGGGGGGTGAGGCAGGGCGGGCGGGGGGCACAGGGTCTGGGGAGTGGGGAGCAGGGCTGTACTGGGCACAGGGGCAGGGGGGCAGGATGGGTGTGGGGCACAGGGCTGGGGAGTGGGGAGCAGGGCTGTGTTGGGCACAGGGGCAGGGCGGGCATGGGGCACAGGGCTGGGGAGTGGGGAACAGGATGGGTATAGGGTGCAGGGGCTGGGGAGCAGGGGGCACGGGGGGCGTGGGGCACAGGGCTGGGGAGTGGGGAGCAGGGCAGGCGTGGGGCAGGCGGATGGGGCAGGGCGGGAGTGGGGAGCGGGGCAGGCGTGAGGCGGGGGGGGCAGGGCTGGCGCGGGGCACAGGGCAGGGTCTTGCCCGCCGGGCCCCACGCCCGCCCCTCGGGCCCTGATGGCATCTCCCCGGCCCCGCAGGCTACGACTTCCCGGCCGTGCTGCAGTGGTTCGCGGAGCGCGTGGACCGCATCGTCCTGCTCTTCGACGCCCACAAGCTGGAGATCTCGGACGAGTTCTCGGAGGCCATCCGAGCCCTGAAGGGCAACGAGGACAAGATCCGGGTGGTCCTGAACAAGGCCGACATGGTGGAGACGCAGCAGCTGATGCGGGTCTATGGGGCCCTCATGTGGTCCCTGGGGAAGGTGTTCAACACCCCTGAGGTGCTGCGTGTCTACATTGGCTCCTTCTGGGCTGAGCCGCTGCTCGTCTCCGACAACCGGCGGCTCTTTGAGCTGGAGGAGCAGGACTTGTTCCAGGACATCCAGAACCTGCCCCGCAACTCGGCCCTCCGCAAGCTCAACGACCTGGTCAAGAGAGCCCGGCTGGTCAGGGTGAGCGGGGGGACTGAGGGGGGTCGGAGGAGGGCACCGGGGGGGACTGGGGGGCCGAGGGGGTGGGGGAGCTCTGGGGAGATGTGGAGGGGGGGCACTGAGAGGGACAGGGGGATCTAGGCGGGTCAAGGAGGTGGGAGGGGGATTTCCGTGGGGACGGGGGGACTGAGGGATGCAGGGGATCTAGGCTGGCAAGGGGACCGAGGGGCGTGGAAGGGGGCTCTGGGGAGGGGGTTGGGGAGCACTGTGGGGATCTAGGCGGGCGGGGGGGCTGACGGGGATGAAAGGGGGGTTCTGGGGTCATGGGTGGAGGGCACTGAGGGGGACGGGGGGACTGAGGGGGATGGAAGGGGGCTCTGGGGTCGTGGGTGGTGAGTACTGAGGGGGGCAGGGGGATCTAGGCAGGTGGGGGGACAGAGCGGGCAGGGAAGGGAATAATAGGGGGGTGAGTGGGGGGCACCAAGAGGGACAGGGGGGGACTGAGGGGACAGGGGGAGCAAGGTGAGGGACCAAGGAGCCCCTGGCCACCCAGGTGGCAAAAGCGCCTGGTTATCATCCAAGCCACCAGGACTCCTGGGTTCTATGCCTGGTCTAGCGTGGCATGGGTGGCGGGGGAGGGGAGAGGTCTAGTGGTTAGAGCAGGAGGGGCTGGAAGCCAGGACTCCTGGGTTCTATTCCCAGCTCAGAGAGGGGAGTGGGGGGGGGGGTCTAGTGGTTGGAGCAGGAGGGGCTGGAAGCCAGGACTCCTGGGTTCTGTTCCCAGCTCAGAGAGGGGAGTGGGGGGGTCTAGTGGTTAGAGCAGGAGGGGCTGGAAGCCAGGACTCCTGGGTTCTGTTCCCAGCTCAGAGAGGGGAGTGGGGGGGGGTCTAGGGGTTGGAGCAGGAGGGGCTGGAAGCCAGGACTCCTGGGTTCTGTTCCCAGCTCAGAGAGGGGAGTGGGGGGGTCTAGTGGTTAGAGCAGGAGGGGCTGGGAGCCAGGACTCCTGGGTTCTGTTCCCAGTTCAGAGAGGGGAGTGGGGGGGGGGGGTCTAGTGGTTGGAGCAGGAGGGGCTGGAAGCCAGGACTCCTGGGTTCTATTCCCAGCTCAGAGAGGGGAGTGGGGGGGGGGGGGGTGGAGGGGGGGGGAGAGGTGGGTTTTTGGGGGGGGGGGGGGGGGTCTAGTGGTTAGAGCAGGAGGGGCTGGAAGCCAGGACTCCTGGGTTCTGTTCCCAGTTCAGAGAGGGGAGTGGGGGGGTCTAGTGGTTGGAGCAGGAGGGGCTGGGAGCCAGGACTCCTGGGTTCTGTTCCCAGTTCAGAGAGGGGAGTGGGGGGGTCTAGTGGTTGGAGCAGGAGGGGCTGGAAGCCAGGACTCCTGGGTTCTGTTCCCAGTTCAGAGAGGGGAGTGGGGGGGGGGTCTAGTGGTTGGAGCAGGAGGGGCTGGAAGCCAGGACTCCTGGGTTCTGTTCCCAGCTCAGAGAGGGGAGTGGGGGGGTCTAGTGGTTGGAGACCCCTTGGCTGCAGGAAGTCTTACATTCTCTGCTAGCTGGTGGGTCTCGGGCCCATGGCGGGCCCTGCACCCCCGAACTTGGGGCGAGTCTCTGAGGGCAGCTTTTGGGGCTGCGTTTCCCACCCCCTGCCCCATATCGTCTCAGGGCTGTGACCCTCTTCGGCAGCAGATGGCTCCAGACCCCCAACAACAGCGTGGCTGTCCTGCGCTGAACAATGCCCCCCCCCTCCCCGGGGGTGTGCATGTGTCCTCATTGTGCTGCAGGGGAGGGGCCGTTACGGGGTTTGTGAGCCCCCCACCCCCGCATCCTGCACCTGGTTTCCTCGTTAAGGGTTTCCCATGCGGCAGAGCCTTCCGCAGCTGTGATCGAGTAACAATCCTCCCTGCCCCCCCCAGCCTGAGAAATGGGGACCCCCTCCCGAGCAACGGCCCTCCCCGGCTCCTGGCCTGAGCAACACCCCCCCCCCCCACCTGGGAAATGGGGACCCCCTCCCGAGCAACGGCCCTCCCCGGCTCCTGGCCTGAGCAACACCCCCCCCCACCTGGGAAATGGGGACCCCCTCCCGAGCAACGGCCCTCCCCGGCTCCTGGCCTGAGCAACACCCCCCAGCCTGAGAAATGGGGACCCCCTCTGAGCAACGGCCCTCCCCGGCTCCTGGCCTGAGCAACACCCCCCCAGCCTGAGAAATGGGGACCCCCTCCTGAGCAACGGCCCTCCCCGGCTCCTGGCCTGAGCAACACCCCCCCCCACCTGGGAAATGGGGACCCCCTCCCGAGCAACGGCCCTCCCTGGCTCCTGGCCTGAGCAACACCCCCCCCAGCCTGAGAAATGGGGACCCCCTCCCGAGCAACGGCCCTCCCCGGCTCCTGGCCTGAGCAACACCCCCCCAGCCTGAGAAATGGGGACCCCCTCCTGAGCAACGGCCCTCCCCGGCTCCTGGCCTGAGCAACACCCCCCCAGCCTGAGAAATGGGGACCCCCTCCCGAGCAACGGCCCTCCCCGGCTCCTGGCCTGAGCAACACCCCCCCCACCTGGGAAATGCCTCTAGCCAGATCCCCTAAAACACCCTCTAACTAGGGATGCCTCCATGAGGGGTGGGGGGCACTGATACCTCCACATGCCCTGGGCCTGGTTCCGCAACCCCCTGCTGCTGCCCCCCATGCTTGAGCCGACGCAGGGGGGGCTGGGCATCCCCCAAGTAGCAGGCGCCCACCTTAGCACCTGGCAGGGTCCGGGCTGGTCGCTGGCCCTGTGCCTGAAGGGGGAGCCCCCCTCGCCAGGGCATGTGGTGCCAGGCGAGGCTGGGCTGGGCAGGCAGCTCCAAGCGACCCAGCCCCCCCCCATCCCACCCAGTCCTGGCAGCTGGATTCCAGCCGTGCCCCGCCCGGGGCCGGACGCCGGTGAGCGGGCAGCCGTTTTGCCCCAGGTTCGGAGCTCACAGCCCCCCCGCACGATTTCTCCTTGCTTCAGCCAGGCTGGGGAGGGGGCAGCCCCTGGGTGACTCGTGGGCTGGCAGGGCTCAGTCCCAGCACCCCCGGGCACAGCGAACTTCCAGCCCCCTCCGTTGCAAGCACGTTGGTAACCCGGAGGGGAAAGGCCCCGGGCTCCTGGCCCCAGCCCCGCGGCCAGATCAGGGCCAGCGCCCCCTAGGGGGGAAAGGTCCCAGGACCCCACCCTGGAGCCAGTTCAGGGCCAGCGCCCCCTAGGGGGGAAAGGTCCCAGGACCCCACCCTGGAGCCAGATCAGGGCCAGCGCCCCCTAGGGGGGAAAGGTCCCAGGACCCCCACCCTGGAGCCAGATCAGGGCCAGCTTCCCCTAGGGGGGAAAGGTCCCAGGACCCCCACCCTGGAGCCAGATCAGGGCCACCTTCCCCTAGGGGGGAAAGGTCCCAGGACCCCCACCCTGGAGCCAGATCAGGGCCAGCGCCCCCTAGGGGGAAAAGGTCCCAGGACCCCACCCTGGAGCCAGATCAGGGCCAGCGCCCCCTAGGGGGAAAAGGTCCCAGGACCCCACCCTGGAGCCAGTTCAGGGCCAGTGTTCCCTATTCTAACAGGCTTTTGGAAAGCAACACCAACCCCCCTGAGGGGCGCGGCCCCCTCAGTAACGCAGGTTCCTCTCCCCGTGCCCCCGGTGACGTGGGGGAGTTTTAATGAGGCTCCTCCATTGGCCCGAGAGGAAGCGCCAGATTGGCTTTTGCAGCCTCTTTCCCTCCCTCGCGGCCTTATCTTTTCCTGCCACCTGCTGGGCCGGCTCCCCGGGGCCCTTTGTGCGGCCCGGGCCCCCGAGTGGCAATTTCCTCCCGGCCCCGGCCGGAGCCAGGGAACAGAACGTCCATGGAACGGCCCCTGAGCACTTTCCACAGCCGGCTGCCAACAACCGCCCAGGTCACGGAGGCTGGACGCCCGCCCCTTGGCCCCAGCGCTCGCCCGGGGCAGGGCTGGCAAGGGCCAGCGTCGCCATCGAGCTGAGATGTTCATCTGCCCCGTCCCACTATGCCGTTGGCATCTGGGCCCAATCCTTAATGCGGAGGGGGGCTGAGTCACTTTCTTAAGGACACAGTAAGTTGGGGCCTTGTTGTGCCAGGCGCTGCCATGACCCTGTCCCCCGTTGTGCCAGGCGCTCACAATTTAACTGGACAGAAACCAAGGCACAGAGCGGGGCGGTGACTTGCCCAAGGTGGCGAAGCAGGGGCAGGAAGAGAACCCAGGAGTCCTGAGCCCTAGCCCCGTGCTCCTAACCACTCAGTCATGTGGGTTCAGCTGCCATCTGAGCAGGCCGGACCTGGGGTCCCCCCCTTCGGGGGATCAAGGGGCAACATTCAGCTGGTGTTTGCTCCAAGAGCAGCTGTCTGCGGCTCCCTTCCCGTGGTGGGGGTCCACTCCCCTGCCCGCATGGCTAACGTTCACTCAGCCCCCAAAGTCCACCCAAGGCTTTGGGGCACAGATTTTCCTGAGCCCCTCTTTCTCCGCAGAGGGAAGGCAGCGAAGTGCAGCAGCAGGGGGCACGAGGCAGCAAATTCCCTGACGTCTCCGGGCTGGCACGTGGCGGGGGGCAGTGGGGAAAGGCAGGCGGGATGTGGTCCGGGGTGGGGGGGCAGGTCCAGGTCCATGGAGCCAGTGCTGGAGGAAGGTGGGGGCAGAGGGCCCCTCCCCCCAAGAGCTCATGGAATAAACTCCCCCCATGGGGGCTGCAACTGTGGCCCATAGTCCCCCACCCCGGTGTATTTTAGCTGGATTTGGGTTGTTAAATCTTTCCTTATAAATCAGTTCCTCAGCCCCCCTGCTTGTTACTAGACCCCCCCCCCCACCCTCCTAGAGCTGGGGATAGAACCCAGGAGTCCTGGCTCCCAGCCTCCCTGCTCTAACCACTACACCCTCTCCCTTCTCCTTCTAGAGCTGGGGATGGGACCCAGGAGTCCTGGCTTCCAGTCCAGTGTCCTGGGCCATGCTGGGAGCCAGGCTGGGGGGCCTGTCCCGGTGTGAGGGTGGGGACTGAGCGAGCGCCCCTGCCCTGCCCTGCCCTGCCCAACTGCCCCAGACGGATCCTTCCTGCGGAAGCCGAGGGAGCGAAGCTCTGGGTCAGTGCAGGGCGGGAGAGGGGGCCCGGCAGGAAGAGCTGCTGGCGGGGCCCACTGGTGCTGCGGGGGCGTCCGAGCTGGGCCGGGAGGGGACTGGTGCTGGGCCAGGCTGAGCTGTGGGCCGAGGAGGGCGATGCTGGGCCATGGGGGAGGGGAGGAAGATGGGGTTGGGGGGGGAGGGTGATGCTGGGCTGGGGGGAGGGGAGGAAGATGGGGTTGGGGGTAGGATGATGCTGGGCTGGGGGGAGGGGAGGAAGAGGGGTGGGGGGAGGAGGGTGATGCTCAGTTGGGAAGGAGGGGAGGAAGATGGGGTTGGGGGAGAGGGGAGGGTGATGCTGGGCTGGGGGGAGGGGAGGAAGATGGGGTTGGGGGGGGGGAGGGTGATGCTGGGCTGGGGGGAGGGGAGGAAGATGCGGTGGGGGGGGGGAGGGTGCGCGGGGGGAGAGGAGGGTGATGCTCGGTTGGGAAGGAGGGGAGGAAGATGGGGTGGGGGGGGAGGGGAGGGTGACGCTCGGCTGGGGGGAGGGGAGGAAGATGGGGTTGGGGGAGAGGGGAGGGTGATGCTCGGCTGGGGGGAGGGGAGGGGTGGGGGGGGGGAGGAGGGTGACGCTCAGTTGGGAAGGAGGGGAGGAAGATGGGGTTGGGGGAGAGGGGAGGGTGATGCTGGGCTGGGGGGAGGGGAGGAAGAGCGGGGGGGGAGGGTGACGCTGGGCTGGGGGGGGAGGGGAGGAAGATGGGGTTGGGGGGGGGAGGGTGACTGCTGGGCTGGGGGGGAGGGGAGGGTGACGCCGGGTGGGGGGAGGGGAGGATGATGGGGTTGGGGGGGAGGGGAGGGAGGCTGGGGGGGGGGAGAGGGGAGGGTGACTCTCGGCTGGGGGGAGGGGAGGAAGATGGGGTTGGGGGGAGAGGGGAGGGTGACGCTCGGCTGGGGGGAGGGGAGGGGAGGGTGACGCTCGGCTGGGGGGAGGGGAGGAAGATGGGGTTGGGGGAGAGGGGAGGGTGATGCTCGGCTGGGGAGAGGGGAGGAAGATGGGGTTGGGGGAGAGGGGAGGGTGATGCTCGGCTGGGGGGAGGGGAGGAAGATGGGGTTGGGGGAGAGGGGAGGGTGATTCTCGGCTAGGGGGAGGGGAGGAAGATGGGGTTGGGGGGAGGGGAGGGGGGGAGGGGGAGGGGGGGAGGGTGACGCTCGGCTGGGGGGAGGGGAGGAAGATGGGGTTGGGGGAGAGGGGAGGGTGACGCTCGGCTGGGGGGAGGGGAGGGGAGGGTGACGCTCGGCTGGGGGGAGGGGAGGAAGATGGGGTTGGGGGAGAGGGGAGGGTGATGCTCGGCTGGGGGGAGGGGAGGAAGATGGGGTTGGGGGGGAGGGGAGGGTGATGCTCGGCTGGGGGGAGGGGAGGAAGAGGGGGGGGGGGGAGGGGAGGGTGATGCTCGGCTGGGGGGAGGGGGAGGAAGATGGGGTTGGGGGAGAGGGGAGGGTGATGCTGGGCTGGGGGGGAGGGGAGGAAGATGCGGTGGGGGGGAGGGGAGGGTGACGCTCGGCTGGGGGGAGGGGAGGAAGATGGGTTGGGGGAGGGGAGGGTGATGCTGGGCTGCGGGGGAGGGGAGGAAGATGGGGTGGGGGGGAGGAGGGTGACGCTCGGCTGGGGGGAGGGGAGGAAGATGGGTTGGGGGAGGGGAGGGTGATGCTGGGCTGCGGGGGAGGGGAGGAAGATGGGGTGGGGGGGGAGGGCGCTGCTAAGTGGTGGGGGGGAAGGGAGCTGGATAATTGACAGCTCAGCCAGCAAGCCCGGTGGCCCCTAGCAGCGGGGGCGGGAGCTGTGGTTGGCACCGCGGGGTGGGGGCATGCCTCCTCGCTCTGGAGGTGGGCCCTGCGGATGGGTCCCGTCCCCTCCAGTCCTGGCTGACGCCCCCTCGGCCCCCCCAGGTCCATGCCCACATCATCAGCCACCTGAAGAAGGAGATGCCCTCGGTGTTCGGGAAGGACAACAAGAAAAAGCACCTGATCGCCAAGCTGCCCGTCATCTTCGCCAAGATCCAGCTGGAGCATCACATCTCGCCCGGCGACTTCCCCGACTGCGGCAAGATGCAGGTGAGAGCCGGCCCCTGGCGCCGCTGGCTCCTCGGCCCCCTGCCACGGCGCCCCCTGCAGGCTGCCCCACGCCCCTGGGGACAGGGGTGTGGGGCTGGGCTGGACTTCAGTGTGCGGAGCTGGGGGGTGATGGGCCAAGTTAGGCGGCAGGGGAGGGACGGTGCCAGGCTGGACTGGGCCGTGGGAGAGGGGGCGCCCGGCCGAACTGGGCCGTGCCCCCCCCCGGCTGCTGACCACCCTGCCCCCCCGCAGGAGCTGCTGATGGTCCACGACTTCACCAAGTTCCACGCGCTGAAGCCGCGGCTGCTGGACGGGCTGGACGAGATGCTGACGAGCGACATCGCCAAGCTGATGCCCCTGCTGCGCCAGGAGGAGCTGGAGATGCCGGAGGGTGGGGTGCAGGGGGGGGCCTTCGACGGCACCCACAACGGCCCCTTCGTGGAGGGCCTGGCCGAGGGCGCCTACGAGGGGGCGGACGACGAGGACTGGGTGGTGACCAAGGACAAGCCCAAGTACGACGAGATCTTCTACAACCTCTCGCCCCTGGACGGGAAGCTGAGCGGCACCAAGGCCAAGAGCTGGATGGTGGCCACCAAGCTGCCCAACTCGGTGCTGGGCAAGATCTGGAAGCTGAGCGACGTGGACAGGGACGGGATGCTGGACGACGAGGAGTTCGCCCTGGCCAGCCACCTCATCGAGGTCAAGCTGGAGGGGCACGGCCTGCCCGCCGACCTGCCCCGCCACCTGGTGCCCCCCTCCAAGAGGAGGCAGAAGGGCTCGGCCGAGTAAACGGGCCCCAGCTCACACCCGCCCCGTGCCAGGCTCAATTGCTCCAGGAGACCCTGATTCCGCCCCCCCAACCCGTGCCAGGCTGAACTGCTCCGGGAAACTGCGATCCCCCTGCCCCCCGTGCCAGGCTGAACTGCCCCGGGAGACCCCGATCCACCCCCAACCCGTGCCAGGCTGAACTGCTCCGGGAGACCCCGATCCACCCCCAACCCGTGCCAGGCTGAACTGCTCCGGGAAACCGCGATCTCTCTGCCCCCATGCCAGGCTGAACTGCTCCGGGAGACCCCGATTCCCCCCCCATGCCAGGCTGAACTGCTCCAGGAAACCCTGATCCCCCCGCTTTCCAGCATCAGCAAACCAGTCTCACCCCTCACCCCCCCCGGTGAGGGAGTAATTTAGGACCTCATGGATGCAGGATCAGGCCCTCCTCCCCCGCCCCGCCCCGCAGCATCCCATCTGAGCCAGCCGCCCTGGGATACCTTCACCATCTCCGTCCCACCCCCGGGGCACGAAGCTGCAGCTGGCTCTGTCGAGGTCAGCAGCCCCCGGATTCCCCCCCCCCCCCCAATGTTACGTGTCCACCGGGACAGAAGAGAGAGGCCGCGAGCTGGACCCACTGCCCAGACCTCCAGCTGCCCCAGGTCATCTGGGGGGAGACCTGACGGACCCCGGGGCCGTCACCATGTTAAAGTGGGGGGGACTTGCTGTGCTCCCAGATCCCCAGGCCACCAGCCACACTGGGTGGGGATCGAACCTGGGGCCTGCCAGCCATGAGCTGCTCTCCCCCACCCCGCCCCTGGGTAGGGGGGCATAGAGCCAGGCTGGGTTAGCGCAAGTCACATCCTGGCACTGCCCCCGGCATCCTCCATGCCCATGTCCCGTCTGCGATCTGTGGTGCCAGGCTGGGGGCCAGCACCAGGCCGCTGGGACCCAGATCCGGCCCTGAGGGCTGCCTGGGGCAGAGCTACCCTAGGAGTTTGGGGGGTTCTGAGCCCAGTGCCCAGAACAGCTGGGCGGGCTGCAGGTAACAATCCCCCAACAGCAGGGGGCAGGGCCTGCCAATTGGCCCCATATATCCCTGTATGGCCCTGCCACCTGCCTGCCCCCTGGTGGCAGCCTGGGGTATTACAGCCTCAGTGGACTGCAGCCCCGCTAGACGCCCCCTCCCTAGTGGTAGCAGGCGGTACTGCACCCATATTGTACCAGCCATGCAATCCACTCACGGTCTGGGGGGCCAGCTGCCCTGTCTGAGCCCGACCGGGTCCATTCAGACCCATCCGGGAAGTGGGGCCCAGTCAGGCAGGGTCTGAGAGTCGTATCTTGGGGGGGGGGCGCATTTCCCCTCCAGCCACATGCTTTGTGTATATTGACCCCTTGTATCAGACCAGCCACCCTGCGCTTCATGCCCCGACACACCCCACTGCTCCCCCCTCCCGTGCGCTGGGGGGGGGCAGCCCCTTGGTATTGTTATGGCAAAATGCTCATTTACTCTGCCGTTAAACCAGGGCCTACTGGGGGCAGAGCGTGAGTCACAGGAGCACTGGGCCCGCTCTAAGTTACACTAGCCGCCCCCCGCCCATCCCATCCCCAAGTGCACGGATGGGGCAACCGAGATTCAGGCCCTCTGTTCCCCATCCCTGGGGCAGGATAGTGGTCGGAGGGATGTGGGGGGGCCCTAATGCAGCCCTGGTCAGGTGACCAGGTTGGGGGGCTCCCCCTGCAGGCCACATCTCTCTCCTGGCTGTTGTGTGAGGTCAGCCGAGGTGGTTACCATCTCTCTGGATCTAGGGTCAGATACGGCTGGGAACTGGCCTTGGCCCATTGAGGGCAACACGGGGCCTGAGCCCAGCTGGAGCCCCAGGAGGTCTTTCCCCCTCGGTCTCACTGGCCACCCCTGTGCGAGCCGGGCTCCAGGACTCTCTGTATGTCGTCTCCTCTGCCCCCAGGGCCGTATTTATATCGGTCCTTCTGCAATAAAGAGATCTCGCATTTATCCGCTGACGTGGGCCCCTGATGCTCGGCCCCCGGAGCCAGACGCTGCCTGGAATCGGAGCGCGGCTAGTGGCCCACAGCCTGGCCCTCTGCTTCTGGACCCAGGGCCCATCAGCCAGGTACCCCCCTTACCCCCATCAGACCAGTGGCCTGCTTTGCCCGGCATTCCTGCCCCCCACTTCCTCCTCCTCCCCTGTCTCTGCCACCCAGATCACACCACTGGGCCCATTCACCCTGGTATCCTGCCTCCCCTCACTGGATCGGCCCATCAATCCGAACCCCCTGGCAGAACTAGACCTCCTGTGCCCTTAAGGCCAAAGAGCCAGGCAGAGGGGGATGATGTGCAGCCGCCCCCGGCCCCCCCATTGTGGGCACATTCTCAGCCCCCAGGTGGGGTCCCCAGGAGCCAGAGGTGGGTGGGATTGGGAGGCTGCTCCCCAGCTCCTAATCTGCCATCCACTGGGAGGTGTGGAGACCCCGGTCCATGCCCCTGGGAGGAGGCAGGTCCCGGGTGGACCCTGGGCGGGACGAGGCTGGGCTGGGGGATGTGGGACGGACGAGCCTGCAGCCCCGTTGGCTGGGAGCTGCCGCGGGAACAGACTGTCCGGCATTCGACTCCCTCCTCACCTTTGCACCGCAGGGTGGAGCGAGCGTCTCTGGCCGGTGACTCACCCCCCTGGGTGGCTGCCAGGACCCCGGAGCCCCGGCCAAGGGAAACTTGCATTCCTCAGCGTGGCTTGGGAAAGATGGGAGGGCCGGGCTGGCAGGGAGTGCAGGGGGTGTCCATGCAGTGGAAAGTGTGTGTGGCAGGGGTGAGGGGGGGATTGGAAACCCTCCATCCCCACCCCAGCACCCTGGCAGCGCCTCCCTTGGGTGCCAGTGGGGGATGGAGGCTGAAGCCAAGAGGCACCTCTGGTCCCTTTCGCCCCCCTGAGTCCCCTCCAGCATGGCCACGTTCCCAGCCTTGCTCAGTCAGGGCACTTCGCCCTCCCCCGGGATCTCAAATCCCTGGGCACATGCAGGTTGGGCTCCAGGGGCCCTGAGCCCCAGATAAAGGTTGCCAGGTTGGAGGAGAAAACGAGACACAGAGAAGGGGAAAGGGGGGTCTTGTCCAAGGACCCACGGATCGAAGCAGAGCTGTGAAGGGAACCCAGGATTCCTGGCTCCCAGCCCCCCACCAGCACCCCGCTCTAACCACTCGACCCCAACCCCCTCCCCGAGCTGGGGATAGAGCCGGGGAGCCCTGTGCTTTAGCCACGGCTCCATCATTCTTTCCCTTCAGACCCGGTTCTCTGGATTTTCCACCCCAATATTTACAGTTTTCAAGAGCCCTGTGTGGATGTGAAAAGAGAACAGGAGGACTTGTGGCACCTTAGAGACTAACAATTTTATTTGAGCATCAGCTTTTGTGAGCTACAGCTCACTTCATCAATGTGAAACACAAGTTGGGGGGGAGGGCAGCCCTGCCCTTCCATGCCACCCCCAAGCACCCACCCCAGTGCCGGCAGACCCAGTGGGGAGAAGGGCCCACCCTGGCTTTGGGAAACATCTGTGGGTGAAGCCAGGACGAGCGTCAGCTTGTGAAAGGAAGCCGGGGTGGGGGGGTGTGGATCCCCTGCTTCTAACGAGGCTGAGCAGTGTGTGTAGGTACACACGTGTTTTCTGTGTGTGTGTCTGTCTGTCCTTGTGCTGGGTTTTGCGTGTGTATTTTGTGTGCTTGTGGTTTGTGTGTCTATATGCTGTTTTGCGTGTGCCTATTTTGTGTATGGGCATGTTTTTTGTGGATGTATTTTATGTGCGCATGTTATGTATTTTGTATGTGTGTGTTGCATATGTGTGCGTCTGTTGCGTTGGTGTGTGCACGTTTTGTATGTGCATGTTGTGTGGGGGTGCGTGTGCGTTCTGTGATTTGTGTGTGCAGGTTCTGGTTGGACCAGCCGGAAGTAGTTTTGTGGGTGTCCGTGTGTGTGTGTGTCCATGTGTGGGTGTGTTTTCTGTTACTACCTGCAGCCTTGACCCCATCGTGTGCAGCCAGCTGGTTCTGCGGGGGGGACCCCCTTGGTTTTGACACACACCCCACACACGCCCTCGCAGCATCACCCCACCTGCCTCACAACTACCCGGCACACAGCACCCGCTGGCCTGGCCAGAGACAGGAATCAGACAAGAATCAGGCCTGACTCTGTGCACGGGGGGGGGATCCTCCTGTCTTCATTTCCAAAAGTGGAAACTCTCCCATGAAAACTGTTCGACCATTCACGAGGGGCAGGAAAAATAGGATCACAGCCCCCGGCAGGGCCCCACCCAAAGCCCAGCCCTGGGAGACCGGCACGAGTCGGGTGGTCCTGCCCCCTCGTGGCTGACCAGAGAGTTCATTGTGAAGTTGTTCTGCGTTTACACTGAGAACGGAACACGGATTTACAACGGGAAATCTGTGGGGGGGGGGGGGTGTCTGAATTTGCACCCAGGAATCTGGGGTATTAATCTGGATTCCCACCAGGGAATCTGGGGGTGAATCTGAATTTACACCCGGGAATCTGGATGCCCACCGGGAAGTGTAGGGAGGGGTGTGAAACTGGATTTATACCCATGTAACTGGGAAGGGGATCAGGCTGGGAGGTGCAATGACAGCCCCATTATTCCCCGCCCTAGTCCAGATGTTCCTGGCCCCAGCCCCACATCTGCCCCCTGCGCAGCCTGTCGGGTCTCTTGTGCGGCCCCAGAAATGGGTTGGGGTGTCGAATCTGCTGATTCCAATACCAATCCAGCGACCAAAAAATTAATCGCCCCGTAGTCCGGGTGAGGGGGCGGTGGTGCCATAGGAGGCGGGGATTTTTTTAATTATTATTTATTTATTGATGGAGGGAGTGTGGAATCTGCTGATAAAAACCCTCCGCCGGCGCCCTGCCTCTTTCTCCTATACCAAAATGGCGGGGCCAGCCGGAAGTAGTTTAACGGGCACTTCCGGCCCGGCGTTTCCTTCCTTTACCAAGATGGCGGCGCCCTCGGAGACTCGCGGCGGTGCGGCCGCCTCCGGGTTCCTGGGCTTCCGGGCCGGGTCCCGCGATCCCGGCGCCCCCGGCAAGCGGCGGGTCCGGGGCAGCCGCAACCGGAAGAAGAGCTGGAAGCGATGGCGGGGGCCCGAGGCCCAGCTGGGCCGGGAGCTGGGGGCCTTCCTGGAGGACGTGGGGCTGCAGCAGCGCGCGGCCGGGTGAGGGGCGGCGGGGGCGCCTGGTGGGGGGGGCGGCGCGAGCCGGGGGGAGGGGGCGGTGCGAGCCCGGGGGCGGAGCCCGGGTGGTGGTGGGGGGGGGCGCGAGGCGGGGGCGGGAGCCCGGGTGGTGGGGGGGGGGCGCGAGCCCGGGGGCGGGAGCCCGGGTGGTGGGGGGGGGCGCGAGCCCGGGGGCGGGAGCCCGGGGGTGGTGGGGGGGGGCGCGAGCCCGGGGGCGGGAGCCCGGGGTGGTGGGGGGGGGGCGCGAGCCCGGGGGGCGGGAGCCCGGGTGGTGGGGGGGGGGCGCGAGCGGGGCGGGAGCCCGGGTGGTGGTGGGGGGGGGGCGCGAGCCCGGGGGCGGGAGCCCGGGTGGTGGTGGGGGGGGGCGGGGGGCGGGAGCCCGGGTGGTGGTGGGGGGGGGCGCGAGCCCGGGGGGCGGGGGGCGGAGCCTGGGGGCGGGAGCCCGGGTGGTGGTGGGGGGGCGCGAGCCCGGGTGGTGGGGGGGGGGGCGAGCCCGGGGGCGGAGCCCGGGTGGTGGTGGGGGGGCGCGAGCCCGGGTGGTGGTGGGGGGGCGAGCCCGGGGGCGGAGCCTGGGGGGGGGCGCGAGCCCGGGGTGGATGGGAGAGGTGGGGGCTGGAGGGCTTGGGCAGGGAGGGGGGGTATGGGGAGAAAGCGGAGGCGGGGTGGGGGCTGGAAAGGGGGCAGGCTGGGGGCATTGGGGCAGAGGCGGGAGGAAGTTGGGGCCCTGGGAAGGGAAGAGAATTGGCGGCCCCTGGTGGGGTGAGGGGCTGGGGGGAGACAGTGATGGTTGGGGGTGAGTATGGGGGCCATGGGGAGGCCTTGTGGGGTGAGCTTTGGGGGGCCCTGTAAGAGAGGGGATGATTGGTGCTGGTGGGGGATGTGCGGGGACCCTGGGAGGGGTCAGGGGAAGGGAGGCTACATGGAGCGGGGAAGCTTGGGGGTTGGAGAAGATCTCATGGGTTTGGGGGTTGGGGTGATGGAGAAACTGGGGGCAAAGGCGGGTGGGAGACCTTGAGGATCCTCATAGGTGCTGAGGGGGGGGGCAGAGAGGACCTCATGGAGTGAATTGTGGGGGGGGGGGCTGCTGCGTTAGGGCTGGAGGGGTGTCAAGAGGGCCCAGAAGCGGGGGGGAGAGGGGGAGACCTGGGGAGGGTCTAGAGAGAGGGGTGGACCTGGGTAGAATTTGGGGAGGAGAAAATGGGGGACTGGCAAGGGAAAAGTTGATGGGGGACCCTTGGGAAATCGGGGATGAGGACGGGGAGCTGTGAGGTGGGTGGGCACTTACAGTCTGAACGGGGGCGGGGGCATTTTGGACCCGCTGAGGGCATCGGGGCTCCCTTGGTCCTTCCCCAGTGTGTGGGAGTAACGGGGCATCTCTCCCCTTTGCTCCCCAGGGGCCTGGTTGCCGAGAAGCCGGACGAGAGCCTCTTCTTCCTGGACACGGGGAGTGAGGAGAAAGGTGAGGGGGGGGGGAGTTAACCTGTGCTGTGGGGGTCCCTGAACTTTGGGGCAGAAGGGCAGCGTCCCCCCACCCCCCAGTCGGAGAACCAGTGTGGGGGGCTCCCTTGGAGTCCAGTGTCTGCCTCAGCAGAGGGGCTTAGCTTCTGTTCTGCTGCTTTGGGGGGGTCCCTGGGGGGCAAGGCTGAGTCCCACTTGGGTGGGGGGACCAGTCCTGGGCAGAGATGCAGCTGCTTTCCGTGGTGGCCTGGGGTTCAAGTCCCAGCTGGGCCACTGCCTGAGCAGGTTACCCCTGAGCAGGTCCCCGTGTGTCT